AACGTTATTCATTACTCATTAAAATCAAAGAGCTTATGCAAACATACATGCTGTCTTTGATCCGTCGGTCACACATATTTCATCATCAAAGTCACATTACTGTCACATGGTTGCTGAGTTTCAGGCGGCGGCTGTTCTTAAATGTTCCGTTGAATGATTTCCTTTTTTTTAATTGGCTGCCGCTTTTACTTTCAGAAGCGATGTTGCTTGCATAGACATTGCGAAGGGAGTCTGCCGGCTCAAGTAGTTTAAAGATCTGCAATTCCCACATGCACTTACTGAACAACCGCGCTGGGGGTTTAAAAAACAATCCCATTTGCAGCTGCATTACCCTGAGACAATAATGTCAATTTCATACTGGCCCAAATTCAGTTTTATCAATGACTACCTTTAAAGTTAAAAGTATATTTAAAAAACATTTAACTGTAGATAATCAGCCAATTTACAAAACAACCAATATCCCGTCTTTAATTTCCTCACATTCGTTTCCTGCACTAAAAAGGCCCGGTGGCCAGCTGTTTTTTACACAGTGAGCATGTCGGTCCATAGACCTTCCAACGGGCACAAAAGGTCAATCAGCCCATAAAGCCATTAACCATGATGGACCTGTGCCCCTCCCAGGCCCCCCTGTCTCTGCAGGTCACCCATCTTTTTGTTCTGTGGCGCCTCCTCCCGCTACAGTTCCGGCGCCCATGGCTGGCCCTCCTGCCCCCCCACCGCCGCCGGGTCCACCGCCCCCAATGGCGGTGCCCCCACCCATGCCGCCTCCACTGCCCACCGGCGGCGGGCCTCCCGGGGGCCCCCCCGGTGCCCAGCACCAACCCTCAGGACTGGCTGCCGCACTGGCTGGAGCCAAACTACGTAAAGTACAAAGGGTGAGCCTCCAGGGATCAGATCCTGTCCTCCCGGTTTCTCCTTATCAGTAGTTATTTGTTAAACCCATCCTATATGTAAAGGGGGGAAGGGGGGGTAAGGAGACAAAGAGCGCGCTCAGTCCATTAAAAAATGCAACCCATTGTATAATGTGTTCCTCAGGATGAGAGCAGTCCGCCCGGGTCCAGCGGCAAAAGTGACTCCAACCGGTCTAGTGGTGGCAGTGGAGGTGGTGGGGAGGGACTAATGCAGGAAATGAATGCCTTACTAGCTCGCAGGTGAAACAGCTGCACACACGCGCACACACACACACCCTTTACCTTTGCCTTTAGTTGAACGTGAACGAGAGATGAAGTAAATGTGAAAATTATTGTTCTGTGACGTCACGCTACCGTTTTTTTTTTTGTCCTTTTTGGTTCTGCTTTACTTGCGGTCAAGGTTTTATCTAAAAGGAGAAATAAGCTGTCGTACTGGTATTTTATCCACGTCTCAATCTTTCTGTCCCGGTTACTGAGTTACCTGCTTATCTCACGTTTTGCTTGTCTACTCATTTCTCCATCTCACAGACGAAAAGCTTCAGAGAAACCCGATGAAGTGAGTCATTTGCAGGAAATAGTTTTAATATTTTTGTGTAATTGTTCAATTGTTTGTGTTTGATGAAAAGATTGAATGGGACGCCGGCGCCATCAGCAAACGGTTACCTGTGCCTCTTAATGAAATGTTATTGGGGAAAGTTACAGTACAGCTGATTTACTATTGTGTTGTGATGAATCATCACTCTCTCCCCTGCAGGATGACTCTGGTGGTAGAGGGCCGGGTCAGCAGAACTCAACAGGTACCAACATTCACACGGTCATTGTCGCTGTTGGGAAGGTTGGGAATTTAATGAAATGTGATAGTTAACAGATGAATAGTTTGATGTCAGTAATATAACTACTTTAATTGCCTTATCATAGACGTGTCATTGTTTTTCTAACAAATGTATTAAACTGGGTAAAGTCCTCAAACAAAAACCAGGCAGGTTAAATATTACATAAATATTATGTTTACTGTTAAACTTGGATTCAAAGTTTCTCATTATAAATTGAGACAAATTAACAGAGTTAATGTTATATTCTACACACAATCTCTTCACTGAAAAGTATAGATTCAGTTGAAACTCATTTGTAATCTTTAACATTTTGTTTAGTAACTATATACATTTCCTCAGTTTCTGTTACTAATTACAATGACATGGATCTTGTAGGAAACTCTTGCCTGTTACAACTGGTCTCTCCCCAGCACCGAGCATTGCATCGCACGGATGCATTAGTTCCATACGAATACGGGTTTCAAGAAACCTCCCACTCTGCCTTATATCTCTCAGTTTCAGAGTTATTCTCTATTCTTTTCTCTTTTCCAGATGCTATGAAGAAGCCATGGGAACGATCCAACTCTACAGACAAGTCCTCGCTAGTCTCCAGGTAAGTTAAGAGGAGCGAAGGGAGGGTGCATGAATATGAAATAGCTAACCACGGGGGTTTCAGAATAAATATTGTCTAAATTGTGGTTTCGTTTGACGTAATCCATGACTGGAGTGTGTGATGCTCATCTGCGTTCACCTTCTGTGTTGCAGAGTGAGACCTATCGGCAGCACTAGTGAATCGGACACAGAGTTTGACCGAATGAAACAGGTTGGCACCATTAACATGTTTAACTACCCTAAAGGATCATGTGCGTTTGTACTTGTGGGACTCATAAGAAGATCTTGTTTTGCAGGAGATTTTGGATGAAGTTGTACGTGAGTTGCATAAAGTGAAAAATGAGATCATTAACGGTAAGCGAGTACCCAGGAGCACAAAGCATGTTTAATATGTTATCGATTCACTTACTATGTTTTACAACTCAATGGCTCAAATCAAGAAAAGCTTGTCAACAAAAACAAACACGTCATTGGCCGAGTAGGGGTATTTTCCTTTTTTTAAACCCGTTCTTTATCTGCAGCCATCAGACAGGAAATCGGCAGAATCAGTACATCCTAATCTCACGCGCGCACCAGTAGGAGGAGAGCAACAGGAGGATGGACATGCAGATGCACAGACACGAGGACCGGGGGAATGTTCTCTCAATGTTTCTGTGACCCTCGCGATGCCACGATGCAAGTTGCAGAGATGTTGTGCCAACATTTTGAGTCTGCTGGACAGCGAAAATGGGAGAAAGTGACAAGAGAAGAGGGGTTAAGGGACAGGGGAGCAGAATGAGAACAAGAGGACGCTCAAAGAAAGATTGAAGGACTGAAAAACTGAACGACGGGAGGAAAGACTAAAAGATGAATTGATGGATGGACGGACGTTGGTGCTGCGTTTGGTGTTGTGTCCTCTCCGTGCACCCATGGACTCAGTCAGCCCAGTGTCGCAGCTCTTTGTTCTCCTGTTCAGTCTTAAGAAGAAAATATTTTTGTTTTCTAAGTTTTTACTGTTTTATTATTTAAAAAACTGTGGTGATAATGATGATGCTGTCGATGACAATGAGTATTTTATTTATATTATTGGAGAAAGGAACCTTGCACACCATTTGTCAGCCTTTTTTATTTTCTATTATTGGTTTGTTTAGTTATCCCTCAAATATTCATAATCACAAGCACAAAAGGGCATAGTGGTGCTGCAGACTGGCATATTTAAAAAAAAAACTTTAAAAAAGGCTTTTTATGGCCTTGTTCACTGGCGTTGTGTATGCAACCTTTGCTCTCCGGAGATGATGGAAAACATCTCAATGTTTTAGCCATGATTAGCTACTAAGAATACCTCCTTCCTCCACACCCGAGGATTAACACATCGCAAATGAACAATTGATGTTTGGTAATTGATCCGATAACACACAACAGTCTGCCTTATACAACTCCAGTGTGACCGAGGTTTAAGTTCCTCTTTACCTGTTCAGATCTGCAAGATCATTGGAACTTGGGGATTATTCAAAAAAACAGGCTAGTGACTGTAAATGTGCCACCTGGTTTCTGTTAGATATTTTTTTAAAAAATGTAGTAGTACACCTTATACTTTGTGAACCTCCCAAATATGCATGAAACTCCTATCTCTATGAATTTATTTTTTATTTGATTTTGAGGGGGGAAAATGAGAAAAATACAAATGGTGGTACATTTATTAATGTGGTTTGTTACTATGAAGATCCCCCTTTTTATATATGAGATGTTGAACTTGATAATGGTAGCAATGTGAATAAAGGGGGGTTTGTCTGGCAGTATGCATCTCTTACCAGATAAGAATGTGCAGAAAGTGAGTGGTAGGCCTTTGTGATGGTAGCTAAATGTGTCTTTGCAGGAAGGATTTGGTTGAATATTGGTTGTTGCATTCTATCCACTCTGTCCGTTCTCAACTACGTTCTAATTTAAAAGCTGAAATTAAATTCATTCAAAAAACAACTATAGGCGTATCAACCACCTACACATCATCCTGCTGTATGGGTGTTCTTTTGTTTTGTGTGGAAAGTTTACAGGGAAAGAAAAGGAAATGCAAAATCAACCACAAAGTCATATTGTTTATAGTAGTTTCTTCGTTAAAGATGTTTCAGGTTTTTTTTTAAATATAGTACAGTCATTTAAATAGAAACAATCACAACATTTTTTAAGTCAAGTGAGGACAAAATAATAGGAAGAATGTAACACAACATTAGGGTGTTGATTTAGGGCCTGTGTTCACAGAAAGACTGACGCTGACTGAGTGACTCGCTGAGCAACATGAAATGACGACAGTTACTTCTGCCCTGCTGACCCCTAAACACTAAAACAAAAGCTGCCTTTGTGGCACCCAAGTGGAATTTTCCAAATAACTTTTATAAAAGGTGTAACGTAATCAGACAGTTTACAGCACAATGAAGCTGTGGACATGCAGAATGGGGCGTCACTGAAGACAACGCCCTTCTTACTGAAAGGTAAGTTTAAAAGAGTTTCTGTTTTCTGTTAATGATTATGAGAATGTATGTGAAGAGTTTTATTTGTGTTGAAATATTAGCTTTTCGTCATTATGTTGCCTTTCTCAGTCCCTTTTGCAGACAAAGAGATCTTAGAGTCACAACGACGAGCCGAGCCTACACGATCTCCGTGTAGCAGAAATGGAGGCATGAATAAATAGTGAGGTAAAGAAACAAGCTAGCTTTATTTACATTTTCTTTCACAACTGAAATGTGTCAGAATTCAAGTCCACAACTTATTTAAGGAGTTAGACAGTTTACCATCACTGACAACCACACACTCAAAAGAACATAAGTATAATAATATTTGAAAAGGATCCATTCATATTTAAGAACTGAAATTCACATTACATTTCCAGTTTAAGGGAAATATAAACCAGATCTATTGCTGCTTGCTCAGCTTGTACTCCCGTTTGATTCTGGCGTATGGGCCGATGCTGTCGTCGAACACAAAGTCCCACAATACCCGAATCCAGGAACTGTGCTGAGGAAGGTTGTTGTAATATTCAGCTGCAATATGCTTTACCTGCAAAAAAACAAAACAAAAAACACACACAAGAACATGTGAAAAAAAAAAAATATATATATATAAATGTATATATATATATATATATATATACACAGTATATATGATAATTGTTCAAATATATATTGAAAATAGGTATACATCTAAATTGAAGTTGTAGTGTGAGAAGCACCTTGAGTGTTAAAACAAAGGTCTAATTCAAAATGAAACTAATCCGATATGATAATCCGGCTGTTTAACAGGAGAACATGTTGCACAGTTTCTCCTATAAAAAAGGACTTTATCATCAGACAGGGTTTGGACAGCAATGAACACGGTTAATGTAGCACGGTACCACTAGTTCATAAACAATCACCCTAAAGGGCAGACGTCCCACTTTAGATGTCCTCAGCAAGCAGTTAATCAGTTACAGAGGCCGACCTTCATCCGATCAATCTTTGCAGTTTAAAGGAAGAAAATATGACATGTAGCACTACTTGAGAACGGAAACCTTTCAACCTCAAAATAATGACTTGACTAAAGTGTTCAATTTAGTCCCCAAAATACACAGGCTCACCTGAGGTAGTTTACTGCCAGGTATGCTCGGGAAGTCATGGTGCTCCATGTGATACCCGACGTTAAAGGTGATCAGGTTCAGCGATCCATAGTAGGAATAGGTCTCGTGTCCCTTCAGGAACATGTAATGCTCAGCTATGAAATGTCCAGAGATAGGATGAAGTCCCATACACAGGATGGAACCTGCAATTAGGTAAACAATGGGCTTGATCCCCCATAGATGGTAGATAATTAAGTCTGCTGTGAGCTGCACAGCTGCATTCAGGATCTCCAGCTGACCCAATGGTTTAGGATTCACAATCAACGGGCGAAGGGCGTAGAAGAGCGGCTGGAGGAAGAGCCAGAGGACCTTCCTGGCTGGGGTGCAGAAGAACCATCCCTCAATGTCTGTTGGGATGTCGACATCCAGCTGGTCCCCACCAAGATACCGGTGGTGGTCGATGTGGTACTTCTTAAAGGAGGCAGAGTAAGGCAACCCGATCGGCAGGTTGGCCCACATGGCAAACCAGCGGTTCCACTTTGCCAACTTGTTGCCGAAGGCCACGTTGTGAGAGATGTCGTGGATCGCCAGAGTCAGGGAGTGGTTGATGCAACCCCCAAAGGCATAAGCCCAGAAGAAGATCCACTTCCAGGAGAGATCATGGACCAGGTAACAGGCCAGTAGCTGGGTCAGGACCATTGCCGATACCACCCACTTCAGCTGGGGATCCGGACCCATCAGAGACTTGATCTCTGGATATTTGGCTTGGGAGAGAAGCAGACGGAAACAGTCATGGAAAGGGACGTGGACAAAAATTTGGTAAAAGCAGGAAGGAAAGGAAGTAGGATGCGTAAAAGAAGATTAAAAAATGTATGAAAAACCAAATGTTTGGGAGTTGAAAAGTGGAATATAGTAAAAGAGAAAGTAGAGCAGTGTGTATGTTGTGTAGGATACCTGAATGTCTGACATGAATAAAACAGCGAAAGGACGCGTTCATTTTCCATTGTAAAAGATTGATCTCAACTTATCACGTGACACTGTGTAACCCAAAGAACACAAACAAGCATGTCGTATGGTACCAGCCATTCTCCCGGGAAGGGCTTCCTAACAAATCCAATTTTTAATTGGAAGAGGTGTTGCTTTCTTCAGGGAAATACAACAGAGATAAAAGAGAGTGGTTCAAAAACTGACTTACAAAAAAAGCTAGATTCAGTCAGATTCCAATTCGTTATCCTGGGCATACCTTACAGCCACAATCACAGGGGTAAGGCAGCACATTTCCTCATGCATTAACCAAGAATGACCATGCACCATCATGCAAATCTGAACGTCCCATTTCCCTCCAGCCGACGTAACGTAATTCCACTATGCAAAATGGGCTCATGCTGGTAAATAAACGGGTTTAACTTCACGTAGATCTCCCCTGTGACCAACCCATTCTTGTGTTGTTAATGTTTAGCCAAAGGGAATTATTTATACAAATGTACAACGCCTATACCCGCTAGGAAAAATGGTACATCAATAAAAAGACACCATAAAGACCCTTTTATTTAAACTCCTTACGCCTGTAAAATCATCAATGGATACCAACTTAACCATTTATGGCCACAGATCAAGGCGTTTCAAACAAAAACGTTATCTCAGATAGAATGTTGCGCTTCATGTCAAAGAGCTTCTTGTTTTTTTTTAAAGCTACTGCTATAAACGATCATGGGGAAGCATTTGACCACAACTTTAACTTAAAGCGCGTGTCATGCAAGTGGAGCCAGGCTGTCTTAAGGGTCCTCCCAGATCTCCAGCCTCACAGAGACCCCTCACCTCACTTTTTCACAGCACAGCAACTGTTTCCGTCATACCCAGGGAGTGTGTTTCGTTACAAGGCCGGGGCTCACTGTCAACAGCACCTGCTATCAATATGCTGTATTGTCTTCAAAGTCAGCGAAAGTGATGAATGATATAAAGAGCAGCCTAGGCTTTGATTTTAAAACAAAACTCCAATCTGGTATGGAATACTCCCTTTAACATCATATCTTTTGCTTTATCTCCAATTGCTGCTGAAAGCCACACCCTCTTTATTGTATACTTTGGCTTGTACATAAAAGGCATAAAATTGTTAATAACAGAGCCTCGAAATTTAAGTTGAACTGTAAGTTAAGACATTTGAGATAAATGTAATGTGCTTTAAAATATTGGTCAAAATGTAACTTACATTTTTTTATTACTTAGGATATATTAAACCTTCAATTTTAAATAAAGCTCCAAGAATTTTTCTACTAAATAAGTAACTTACAACCTAATGTAAGTGAGTCACTCACATGTGGGTTCGCCCGGCCGGTTTCTATGTCTCCCCTTGTATCCATTGAGCTCGTTAAGCAACAGCTAGTAAACAGGTTTAACCGGCTGCGACTTTCAAGCACCGAAGGAACTATACATGTAGGCTGCGGTTCAACTTGTTCAACAAAATCACCAGGAGCTTAACTCCGCATATTTCTCAATTAAAACCAGGCTTTTTCATAGAGCTTTTGAAAAAAATGTCTTACCCAGGATTACTTTTCTTCTCGAAGTGTGTGGCTGGTCATTGTAAACCCATTCAAAGTCGCCTCTTCCACCTGTCTTCCCCATGGCTCATCTGTCTCCGTCCGAGGCTAACAGCTCTGTGGCGTCATGTGTGTTATCAAACCTTGACAGTACCGGGACACACCCACTCGCAGTGGCCGCAGTCGGCAGGTGTGAGGTGTGGACGCAAGCTCCTCCCCCCGAGCGGTGCTCCTGCTGGGATGTAGGCTTTTGTTACCCAACATGCAAACAACTGCATCGCTGCAGTCTGTTTCGTGAAACAACCGAAATGACACCTGTATGCCTTCAGATGGATGCTGTGACCTGGTATTGCAAAATGGACAATTTTCAAAGCAATATGCCTAGTTGTGAGTGAAAGATTCTTACTCAACACCGGTGTAGAATAATTAAAGGACACTTATTAAATTAATATACTTGCAAGTACAGAATTGGCCCATATATCAAGGCTCAATGATATTCTCCGACTATATGTAGCTGATAGATAACATCATAAACAAGGGGGCTTTGGGTCAACACCAAGTGGTTATCGACCTTGGACGTGGACCTCATGTATGTTCAACATCACTTGTTTAAGGCACTGCTGACATGACATTATTGTAGTTTTTTCCAACAGTGACTTGATCTGTTACATGTGTATGGAATGAATAGAGGGATGTAACTAAAACATGATAATATTAAATCCGTGCCATTCCCACCACGGTAGTGTTAAATACATTGAGTTGTACCACAGTTAATGTTGTTAAGTCTATATTTCTTTTTTCGACCTTTGATTTTTTTGTGCTAAGTAAGCTATTTGTTATGTGAAAATTTATGTTTGACAGTTTTATGGAAAGACAGTGATATATTTATGGCCAAGTTATAAGAAATAAAACGCTGCGGGTTGGAGATGGACTTGGGCAGGTCCAAATCACGCGAGACTTCAGAACTGGAGCGTCGTGCCACGAGAGTACAGGACAGTAGTGCAGAGTTGTTGTAGGAGAGGGAGGCGGAAGGCAGAGTTTAGACAGGAGGAAACGAGAGTGTAAAAATAGCACATAAGAAGGCGGAAATTCTGCATTGATCATGGCGTCAGGGGACACTCTTTACATAGAAACGGACGGGTCAGAAATGCCAGCCGAAATAGTGGAACTGCATGAAATCGAAGTAGAGACAATCGAGACAACAGTTGTTGGAGACGACGGTGAACACCAGCCTATGATCGCGTTACAGCCTCTTGACACGGATGATCCGCACTCGATCCACTCGCACCAGGAGGTGATTTTGGTGCAAACAAGAGAAGAGGTGGTGGGCGAAGATGACTCCGAATTGCACACCGATGACGGGTTTGAGGACCAGATCCTCATCCCAGTGCCGGCTGTGGAGGAGGACTATATCGAACAGACTCTTGTTACTGTCGCCGGGAGAAGCTCTTCGACAGGCCGGATGAAGAGGTCTGGAAAGAAAGCAGGCAAAAAGAGCTACTTGAGCGGGGGAGAAATGGGCAGGAAGTGGGAACAGAAGCAGGTCCAGATAAAGACTTTGGAAGGGGAGTTTTCGGTGACTATGTGGGCATCGGGTAAGTACAGAGTCTTGAGCGAATTATTTCAAGCTGGCCCCTCGCTTTGTTCTCCGCGTCTTTGCGGTGTGACCGGGCCCACTCGAGGCCTGCTCCTCCGCTAAAGTGGAAACTATTTCCCAACTCTGAGCCACTTTATACCCATTTGAAATGTTTTGTTTTTATGGGAAGCCATGTTTTATGTGTCGATGGGCGCCGCCATATTTCCCCGGTCTAGAAAGTATGGCGGCCCGAAAAAATGGCGTTTATTTGGCCGACGAAGATGGCGGCGAGTGTGGGAGCGAGTGCAGCTGGCTCCGCTAGGCCGCTGTGGCGCAGTTCAGTTCAACGTTAGCAGCGGTGGTGCCTTCAGGGACCCCCCGTACTTTACATTACTAAAGATAAGAACGTGTATTATTAGTTCACATTATATGGTTCCAGTGAACTATACAATAGACTACGACAAGCGTAATGATTGCTAGTGTTATGCATCATTTATAAAATATTTAACGTTTAACTCTTGTATGGTTTTAAACTGCGACCGATTCCTACAAAGTATCATCAACGTCTCAATTGTCTAGTTCCTTGCGGGCGTTGTGCATGAGGGAGTTAGTGAAAAGTGATTAGTTAGTGCTTTTACTTTCCCCACTATTTTTTTTTATAACTAAACACCATGAAACCTGAAATTCTTGTCCTATGTTTCTATTAGTAGAAATTACTAAGAGTGGCAGGAAATACTCGTGAGGGTTTATCTTCAATTGAATAATTGTTTTTTTCCCTACATGTCATTGTACTGTCTTCATTATCACCACATCTGTTCCTCCCATTTAGATGACAAGAAGGACATAGATCATGAGGAGCAGATCACAGGGGAAAACTCTCCTCCAGATTATTCTGAATACATGACAGGGAAGAAGCTTCCTCCTGGAGGTATCCCAGGCATTGACCTCTCAGACCCCAAACAGCTGGCAGAGTTTGCACGGTATGGGCGTTTGTTACCCCAAGCATAGGAATATAATTACATACTGTACTGGCGCTAAAGAGCAACAAGTAATGCACTTCACATGGTTCAACCAGCACAGTTCCCTCAGCGATGTGTAGTATTTAATGTAATATTGATTTATATTACTGGGTCGCCATGGCCCATTTCACAAGTTTCACCAGGAGTTATTTATTTATTTTGGCTTAAGTAAATGCTGCATTGTTGTGTCTTACCTGTTCAGGAATGTGGATTTTTTTTGTGTAAACAATCTATAACAATGTGATCAATTTTTATTTCTGATGCAGAATGAAGCCAAGAAAAGTAAAAGAAGACGATGCGCCCAGAACGATAGCCTGTCCACACAAAGTGAGTACATTGGTCTGTTTATTACACCAGCATATACTCTAACATGCAAAAGATGGGCATCATGCGTGAACAGAAGCCTACTCGGTTGTATGTTGACATTACGGTATTGAGAACATGCATGTGTTGTAAATTGAGTGATGAGCTTGGTATGGTTTCTCTTCGGCTCAGGGATGTACCAAGATGTTCAGGGACAACTCGGCGATGAGAAAGCACCTGCACACCCACGGGCCCCGTGTGCACGTCTGTGCAGAGTGTGGCAAAGCATTTGTGGAGAGTTCGAAACTGAAGAGGCACCAACTGGTACACACGGGAGAGAAACCTTTCCAGGTGAGTCCTTTTCTTCTGATGAAGAAACGGTCATTGTTTGTAAATATGCTTCAAGGAAAGATTTTTGGATATCTGCTGCCTTGTGGAAAAGCAATTATAAAGTACTGGTCAAGTTTCCTGTGTCCAAACGTTTTACTGGCACTGTATACAAAAATGGCTGTTGCCACGATACGTTTCATCTGTGACGTGTCGCGGCGTTAACTTGAGCTCTCTCGTCTCCAGTGCACATTTGAGGGCTGCGGCAAGCGGTTCTCTCTGGACTTTAACTTGCGCACACACGTGCGCATTCATACTGGAGACCGACCGTACGTGTGCCCCTTCGACGGCTGCAACAAAAAATTCGCCCAGTCGACCAACTTGAAGTCTCACATCCTCACACACGCCAAAGCCAAAAACAACCAGTGAAAAGACACACCGGCGGGGGCCTACGCCGGAGGACTCGACCTGCGCCGCCGCAGCTTGACAAACTACCGTTCCGCCGCCTGCTTGGTTGTGAAACAAGGAGTCCCGTTGTGTGGGCTCTACAAGAAAGGTTTTTTTGGGAAATGGCCTTTTTGATAAACATATGGTGGTTTAAACAAGGAACTCGTGAGAACACCCCCCACCTCCCCCTCAGGCATCTCTCGCTCTACCCTACTTTGGCGCTACCTGGATGGAACAATTTAAGCTTTCTTCTTGTGAAGATGTTAATTCATGGATCTGCACGGAAGGCATATTTATACCATAACGCAACCATTTGAAACGTTTCCAGAATATTTGCATCAATCCTCAGCAATGACACATTTAAATTTTCTACTCCCAAGTGTGCATATTGTACGCTGTTTGACATAAGCTCTGTGATGTCTGCAGTGAGATTGTGCCCGCAGCTCTTAAGTTTCACAATTTGTTTTAACTCTGCCGTTCCTCAGTGTGAGTGGTCTTTGCATATATATTCATTTTGTACAACGCAATATCAAAATCATACATAGCCATGTCATTTTCAATAGTGAGCACCGATTAAAATGTTTTTCTCCCTTGCACTACAAATCTGTCCTCAGTTAAAATAATATTCCCATGTTCATAATATTAGCTATTTTAGTAGCAATGTCTTTTAGAGAAACATACCAGAGCTGCTGAATGGTGAAAAATGTGGCTTTTTGGGACCACGACATAAAACAGAATTATTTTTACTTCGGAAGCAGCAGTGGAAATGAATCTGAGCCTGCAAAAGGGGTTTTAGCGATCAACCTCTGTTGATTAGTACTGTTTGAGCGCAAAAATTTGCAGTAACATTGACAAAGTGTCAATATTGGATATTGCTTTAACAATACGTTGCTAAAATTCACCAGTTATTTCCATGTCCAATCGTTGATAAATGACTTCACTGAACATCTCCTCGCTTGGAGAAACAGTCTTTTTATTTCTCAGCACAATGCAAATACACAATTGCATTGCGTCTTACATTTGAACAGCTTGAAAGTGGCATCTTACAGCTGAATAAATTGTCGTTCAAGTTCAATGTCCACCTACTTTTTTTTGCCAAAAGTAAAAAGAGGCTAGGGAGAATTCAAAAATGTGCATTTCAAGTTAAAATGTTCCATAAGAATCTGAGCTCACTTTGGCACTTAATTAAAAAATAGATTTAGATTTGCAAAAGCATGTTGTACATTCCTAAACAATCAACGAACATTTATTATCTTCAATAAGCAATGCATTGAGTAATTTTCTCACATCACATGTATACGATCTGAGGGGTTAAAACAAAGACATGTGCAACTGTTGCGCCAAATGATTTAACCCACATTGCAGTGCATCTGGTTGGCATGTAGCTGCAGAGCCAACAAACCAAGGTTAAAAAAGGTCCTGTAAATCTTAAACCACCATAGTATAGTGCCTGTGTATTTAAAATACACGCGTACCTTTTAGAATTGCAAAGAGTAATTTCCTCAAATAAAACTGCATTGTAACAAGCTCATCCCTGGAGTGAAGAATGGCAAAATAGACCAACAATATCACGCATTATGCATAGTATCCAGTTTACCCACACTTCCCCTGCTGTGTATACAGCAGCATGAGGAATCTGGGTCAGTTCAAATGCAGTGTAGCAATAAAAATACCCAAATCACCACAACATCCAGGACCTAAAATTGTTGAGGAAAAGGTTGTAAGCCTTTTGGAGTATTGCTAAAAGCAGCAAAGAGCATCCTTTACATGTAAAGATAAAAAACAATTCTGAAGGCTTGAATCACGCAGTGTTTGACTGCAAATGCACTGAATAAAAGAAATCTCGCCATCCTCCCCTCTGGACTCGTGTGTATAGTAGCTGCTCTCAGAGCAGAGCCCATCCAGAAGGTTGCACTCGGGGAACTATTGGTTTTCACTCCGCTAGCAGAGCAGCGAGCAGCTCGGGGTAGTTTGGTGTCCCCCATCCTGTAACCGGATCCCACGCCGGTGCAGCACAGAAGCCTTTACCCTGAACCTGCTCGTCCAAACAGCTCAGGTGACAGCCCTCAGTCACCTGGAGATGCAAAGCATTTAGAAAACAGACCACAACAACAAGGTATGTGGACTAAGGTTACTGCCTGCTTTCTTTTCACATGAAACCTTTATGAAGGTGTAACAGTACTGCTTCAAGTCACAGTTAAAGTGAACAAAACACGTCGATCGTCTTGTGTTTCTCATCAAGTCACTTACAGCTCAGTTATTTGCGGTTTTATTTTTTAATACCCTTAAACTATGATGTCAATAATTTAATTTACACTTTTCTGACACAGTATAACTTTTTTAAAATGTCAAACTCATGGCAGAGCGGTGGTACTGCAACAGATTTAGATTAAATACACAGGTCTATCAAATAAAGCGGAATCTACATATAAATGAGATGGAAAAACAAGCTTCAAGGAGCAACTTTACAACAATTTAACCGTCTGAAAACACGGGACTTACATCAAACAGAGCTCGTCCTTTGAGCTTGTAGAGGCGAGGGTTGAGGAAGCCCAGGACGGGCCGGCCCTTCAGCAGCCGCTGGTCATTGATGAGAGACAGCATGCCTCCGACCACAGGTGTTGAGGCCTGGAAGGTAGATCGATCGATGAAAAGAAAAAAAAAAAGGAACCACTGTTACACTAAAATGTTTTTGGACAACGACAATGTAAATATTCTGCTTGCATGTTTAGATTTGATTCTTATATTATATTGTGCTCTTTCCTTTTTATTTTCTCAACAGAATGCTTTAAATGTTCCGTCACATGGCCAACGCTTCATTCGGTAACCAGCATATCAAAGTAGGACATGTCTTACCGAGGTTCCAGACACCCAGGGGACAGGCACTCTGTTGATGACCACCCAGTAGTTATCAGACAGGGCGGCCATGTCTGGATAGGCCCTTCCGCTGGTGTTGAAGTATGACTGAGGAGGAAGGGTTGCTGCTACAGTCTTCAGGTACCCCTCCACTGCACCGGCCTAAAGGAACACGAACACACAGCATAAGTGACGGCAATAACAGAACCTATGAGAGCCGACGGCCGAATCTCTTCACCTGGTAGTCGGGCATCGTGAAGACGTTGCTGAAGCCTCCTCCGCTGATGTAATCTGTAACTTCGTACGAGACCTTAAATGGGTTCTTGAACGATGTTCCTCCTACTGTGGTCACATATGGGCTGTGAACAGGAGGCATATTATATTTTGAAGGCTTTCCCCGCACCCTTTGAGATTAGACCTGCACAATACTAGTTAAAAAAACACTGAATCAACCTTTTAGGAAACACACTGCAGGCTAAATTCATCGCTTGCTTTCTGAATTTTATATGATATGCAAAACATCAATACAGAGCACAACTGCTCTATTAAGCCCTGTGCAGATGGCAGAAACCGCTTTGCAGTCAGAAGTGCTTTACCTTGATGCAGGAAAACTCGGCCTGAACGAGTTTTGGTCTTTACCCAAATGTTTGCAGCCTGCACCACTGTCCCCTGAATGTGAAAAAAAGATGTTAGCTTTAACTAAAAGAAAGTCAGAATTTGCTGACACAGTATAGACAATTAAGGGTGGTTTGGGGAAGTTGTCCCTTGTGTGCTGCAAAGTTTCAATTCATGTGGAAGGTGTTCGGCATGCTTCCTCCTTACTGACCAGAGGCGAAGAGCAACGAGATTCCCCTGACGCCAGCCTTCATAAACTCTGCATTGATGCGCATCATGTATGCAGTAGACAAGCTGTCTTCGTCATCTCCGTAGCTGATGGTGTGAACCCAGGGCAGGTCGGACATGTTGCTGAGCAGAACCATCCACTGGAGGAAAGGCTCCTGGGACTCATGACGACCTGAAAGACCAATATGAAACCATGCTAAACACCCGATGTCTTGTAATGCAACTATACACTTGGTCCACATATATTTATGGTTAGTGTCTCTAGATTTAACATAATCACTTTTATCTAAAAATAAAATCTAAAGTCAATATTATTTTTCAATTTTAAAGTTCTTCACACACACACACAAAACGTTTCACATACACACCTTGATTGGTGAAGACCCACGTGGAGATGTTTGCTCCTGTGCTCATGATGTACTCCACATCGAGACTTGCCTCGATTCCGGCCTTTCCTGCTCCCTGCGTGCCCACGACCCGGTCCACCTCAGAGAGATGCTTGAAGCTCCTGCCGTACATGGACATGAACTCTGCCAGGTCCGCAGGGCTGTAGTACTGCTCCAGGAACTGTACAGAGGAGAAGCTCAGTCAAAAGTACAAAAAGCACACCTGGTTGTGTCGGCCACTGACGGGTACACGCCTGACAGGCGCGTACGTCTATGGACACGTTGTGAGACGGCCACACCTGAGCTACAGCCTGGCTGTTATTCTGAGCGGTTCCCACATCGGCTGTTGTGAGGTTATAGCGGGCCCTCAAGATGCTGGGAGTCACTCCTAGGTGCAGCCCTGCCTTGGAACGTTTTTGCTTCCTGTTCGCTGAGGCTTTGCGGAGGTCCTGACCATTAGGAGGGAGGCGGTGAAGCCCCCCAACTGTGGAAACAAAAAGATAAAAACATCACCAAGCAACGATGAGTAGAGCTGAACCCAAATATACATCGGAAACATTTATTCGCCAAGTGTGTCGGACATTAATCACAGATGACATTTTAGAAAGGGTTCTTACCAAAGTCCAGGTGCTGCTGAACATCATCATGAACGGAGTACGGCGCTGAAGACCGTACCACAGAGTGGCCATCCCTGACGTACTGGTGGAACCTGCTACCTGGAAGAAGCGTCTCTGCAACCCTGAATATACAAAACAAAGCACTGCTTTATCTTGTATGAAGAACTTAAGAGTAAAATATACCTAATAGTGCCTTTGTTTTACTGCCGTCAGTGGGTAAAAAAATGTTATCAAGGGTTGGAGTTTAAGACGAAGGACAAGACAGATTTATGATCACAAACAGCCACAAAAAGAGGAACTATATCACGAGATAAGCGCGTGGAGGGATTTACTCAAAAAGGGAACTTGAGCAGAGAAGGCAACTTTCTCATTAACCGTGTCCAAAGCAAGTGGAAATTACTGTTGAGTAAGCCAAAAGAAATGCTTACTCTGCAGTCATGTCGCACTGTAAAAAGTCCTGAGTGCGTACAGTCAGGCAGCTTGTAACCCCGTGACTCTTCAGCCAGTGGCGCACCACCTTCTGGGTCAGTTCCGTTGGACGCACAAGGGAGGAGACCTCCTCCAGGGTGAGGTGCTTACCTGGGGAGGACAAATGTCTCATCAGTTTAACATTGTTTTAGAGCCCAAATCTTAAGGGCTATTTGCGTGACGACTACCGGCAATTACCAGAAAAGGCAATTACCATTTTGTGCGGAGTCAGGGTCCGACACCTGTTTGAGTATTTCCTCCAGCTGGTCAATGTTTTGCTGCTTTAGGGCAAAGGTCAGCGTCAGCTCCTCTGCGGGTTCAACCCGGCCCACATTGGTCCAGTCGTCTGGTATCCTGAGGAGCGATCGCAAGTTCATATTTTACTAAAAAAGAGGCTCCACTTTCCCAACATTGTGAAGCTGAATATACATCCCCTGATTGGTGAGTTTGAGGTTCTACAGTTGACTGAACCATTGTGCAATCATTATGAAAGTAATTTGACCTTTTTTTGAAGAATGCAGAAATATTGAGTTTATAAGCGTTTCGTTAAGATTCTTCAACATTAAACAACTGGCATTCCCGTTACATTAATAATAGTTCCATCTTTTTTGCTTCACATCTGGGTTACCAATATAACTGTAAAGAAACACTGAGGCTCAGCGGTCAAATTCCAAGGTGCGATACAGACTTGATTTATTAAAAGACAAAGAGCTTTTGGGAAATGGGTCTTAAAGTGGATTTGCTCACAAGACATCTTGGTCACTTTCCAGATAGCCGCTCCAAGCCAGCGAGCTGAGCAACAAGGTGAAGGACAAGGTCAGCCTGGGGGAAGGAGGAAACAAACACGGTCAAATAAAACAAACGACAATTCAAAGTACATCCACACACGCGCGCTACGTCCGTGCGACAACATAACAAAGCTCCCACGTGACCATCTAGTAACGTCACGTCAAATGACACCTTTTTTTGAATGAACCCGCAGATAAAAGACACAGATTAAATATAATTCAAACGTTTCATTCATTAAAGGGTCCTTATTACTCAGGACAACAAGAGACGTGTTGTTTTGCAGCCTTAGCGCGTGCTGCTGGAGCCAGCTAACGTTAGCTGGCAGCTAGCCGGTTATGGAAGTAGGTCAACCTGACCGGAAAGACGGAAACGATACAAAGTGCACCACGTTACAGTCGCTTTGAATCGACTTGACGCAAACCCGACTCGATCAAACTAAATACACGACTAGAAACTTCCAAAAAGACTCACAGCGTGTTCATCGTGTCCTCGCTCGGCTGGTGTGTCCATAGATGTGTCTGACAGGCAGCTGTAGACTAGGCATAAGTCACATGACATGCCATCACGTGATCTTTCTTTTATTTTATTTTTTTCTCTCTTTCGGACATCCCTTTGACTACGGCCTTGTAAGAAACTCGATTGTTTGATCTTTAATGAATCAAAATATAGATATATATTTTACTTGTCATTGTGGGTCACTGAGTGCAGATTGGTGGCCAAATGTGTAATCCAGTTGAATAAAGTAGGCCCACTATACGGTCTAATGCGGCTGTAATGTTTTATTCTTCACAGCATAGTTTGTTGTTCGAGACATCCTCAGCTGATTCTGCTGGCTTTATTCTATTCTATTCTTTTGATAATTGCTAAAAACATTCCCTCCAATTTGCACCAGAACCAAGGTTGTGTTTTTATTTCAGAGTCCTTATTCTCCCTCACATCTTTCCATGACCTCTGCATGGGCTAATTTTACAAAATGTTAAAAGGGGTAATCGTATAGTACGACAAACACATTAAATAAAGTGTGTTAATAAAAAGGTAATAAAAAGACATTACAGTATTTGAAAAAAAGGTCTCACCAAAATTGTCAAAGGATCTCCTGTAACGGAGGGGAAACAACAACAACTTAAATAAATATAAATCAGCACAATCAGCAGGCGTAACAACAAATATTTAAATTGGCTCAGATACCAGAAGGACACACAGACATCTGCGCAGCGTTTCTGTCCCAACCCAATATGATGTGTTAAAAAAAGGTCATTAGAAAGTGAGAATACAGGATGTTGAAAAAAAAAAAAGAATGTTTATTAAAAGTATAGTAACAACTGACCATTAGAACTATGGCTTTAAAGAAAAAATAAATTTATATATATGTACTGTATTGATTTTAGTTTATGCAAAACCATTTTATTTTTTTTGTTGAGAGATGTGATGTTTCAGCGCAAATCACGCGTTGTCCAAGTAGTAAAAATCCTCATCCTCATCGCTTTCAGGCAGCGCACCATCATTCCCCGGGAACATCTCCCAAACGTGAAAGGTGTCATTTTCTAGCAAAAAGGAAAAAGAAACATATAACTTTTGAAACTAATTTCTGACAATCTCACTGTGAGAAATGTTCTAAAACACAGCTACATACAGTGGACAAAACTCAGAACTCCTCACAATGTAATAAAACTCCAGCGTTAACAATAGACAGCCCTACCGCTCTTAATAAAATACAATCATTGTAAATTTAAAGTTAGTATAATGTAGAGGTATTTTTATAATTGTCAAGAATCATACCCGTGTTACCACATCTCCTCATTGTTCGCTTAACGGATGGCGTGGGTGTGAAGCTCTGAAAGAAACCAAGCAGGAAATGGCTATTGTTCAAACAAAACAAAAAAACCACAGAACACATGCATCAAAACAGGAACCTCTGAAAATGAATATCTATGTATATATATTTAAAAAGTACCGAAGCAGCCGGTTTGCAGGCGTTAAACCGATTTTTTTTCATCCTCTTCTGGAGGTTATAGACCAACTTGTCGCCATTGGTCCTTTGAAATCAAGACAGAGGTGGTTTATTTATTGAACCGAGATCACGTCTTACGAGCTGGAACACAGAAGTCGACGTCATTCACCTGTTTGGGGAACCCATCATGCCGGGAGTGATTTGCAAACAACGAGGAGTCTTCACTTCAGGGAAACCTGTCGACATGGGTGTCTGTGGCACCATTTCTGACAATGGGAAGTCCTGGTCACTCGGGCACATGGAGGGCATCTATGCACCGAGGTACCCAAAGACAGTTATCATTGTCATTTTGTATGGTGCCCATACATTTTTTTTGTGAAAAGACAAACAAACCTCATAACGTTTGTTCTGCATGTACGCAGAGCTGAAGACGTCCTCAACATCTTCTCGGGGCATGGCCTCCAGGAACTGACGCACCTGCTGTTTTCTCTTTAAGGTTCCCAGTCGTGCAGATATCACCGGATGATCTGCAGAGATTACAGCTGGACAAATCGGTTAATTTTACTAAATAAAAAAACACTATACACAAAAAAAAAAAAAACATGTATCTTGTGTGCACGGTCCACTTTGCTGCCACAAGCTTGTGAACTTCCCCATTGTGGGACTAATAAAGGAATATCTTATTTGATCTTATCTTACATGATGTAATACAATAAAAACATACGTAGATATTATTTGCCAGAAAAAAAAGATCTTTCCACTTATTTGTTCACTCTCACATAAAAAGAATTATTCGAAATGTTTGGAATCTGCTTGAAATCCCTTAAATATTTTGCACTTCATAAATTCTACAGATTTGTTTCTGCAATTGCGATGTTTTGTAATTTGTACGTAGAGGACATTGTGTCATTATGCATGAATGTGTTAATAAGTTGACCTAAAATCAGATAAAGGGAGATTACGTCCCAAACTGAAAGCCTGCTGTACCTGTATGTTTAGGCGCTTCCAACTTGACCTTGTTGGGTTTCTTGGCTCTCTTCGGAGGCGTGTGGGAGGTTTCCTGGCATGTGTGCTGGAAGTGGCACTCCTCTGCAGAACGCGTTCCCACCATCCTCGCCACCTTTGCCCAGTAGCCTGCCCCGCCCTTAGGATGGCAGGACACGGCCCTAAAAACCACAAAGTGCACATGAACCCTTGTTTAGTCGTGAGGTTACGACACCAAGGATGTGTATTGTGTAAGTTATCTGAGCTCACTCCTGTAGCTTCATAAGCTCCGCCTCTGTCCACCCGTCGGCATCTTGATCTCGTCGAACCGGTGCGCTCGCTTTGTTCGCCCTGCTGGACCGTGTCAACTTAGGCAAAGACTTTGTGGGAGATGAAGACTTTGTGCATTTTCTCTGTTTGTGTTTCGTTTGCGTTACTTTGGTTTTCTTTTCCAGTTCCTTCTCAAACTCAGAGGAATTTGATGAGTCGCTCGACGGGAACATGTAGCTCGGCCGGCACTTGTCAAGATTTCTACAGCCTCTCCTTCCGTGCACTTCTTTCCCAGAGTTCTTTCCCCTATTGACCCCATCCTCGGACAACGTTGATGATCCATAATCACCAGCTGATCCTCGGGGTGCTGGGACGGTCCGCTCCCTACCCGAGACCCTCGCTGCAGCCCTCGTGGTGTCCCGCGTTTGTTTTTGTGACCTCTTTGTTGAAGGCTTTTGCGGTTCCCTTTGCTTTTGAGGGACAGGGTCCACATGCATCGTTTTCTCTGCAGCCGGATGAGTTCGGTGGGACCTCGTTTGTCTGCCAGACCAATCCTTAGGGCTCGGGGGGGTCTCCGCGGGAGTTTGGGGTAAATAGGAGGGCCTCTTCTCGCCTCTCACTTGGGCGCCGTTGTGTTTGCGCGAGGGAGCTTTGACCCTTCTCCGTAGCACCGACTCTTCTTTCTCGCCGTTGGATTCACATTGCTGACGGCCTGCAGACACACAGAAGGAGGTTTGTGGGCATGCGGCTCGTAACTTAACTCCCAATTCCATGACCACGGCACCATTTTTGTTTTTACCTTCACTGCAGGGCAGCAACACGCAGACGGGTTTCCGTGATGTTCTCGCAGACGAGGTTTTAGAGACCTGCATTAAGTTGCAGAAATTAAACACGGTCACGTTGATGAGTTGTTTGTAATCAGTCAAACAAAAATTCTATATTATCATGCAACTCACGACCTCAACTTCAGGTGCTTACAGGCATGTGGATGGAGGTATCATAACATTCGTGGATGGTCACATTCATGTGTGCATCCAGAATGACTCTCCCTCCTTTCCAATATTCCAGAGGTGGCCTGATCACGCGACCACTTCGGGACACGTTGAGACGAGACGGGGGGTCAGGAAGAGGATCGGCTGGAGAAGAGGAGAGAAGAGGTCGTGCAGCTGCGGTGGATTCCTGAACGCATTTTCGCGGGTGTAGGAAGCTGCCGTCATTGAAGCCTGAAAACATTCTTGTTCATGGCATTTATTTGCCAGGCTGTCACCGAAAGCGTTTACGTCGCACTCACGCGTCTTTGGAGAAATGTTCCTATGTCGCTTCACAGCGGCGACGATGGAGGACGCCTCGGATTTAGTCTTTGACGCGACGCCTTTTCCCTGACTGTTCCTCTCGGGTTTTCTGCTGGAGTTGCTTCATAACACAACAAAAGATGGATCTTTAAAAATAAAACATTTGTGAATATGATTTTTAACCATGTATTTCTCATGCTTTTAAAAATTCAACAGAGCGAGCAAAGGACAAAATATTCTTATATTTAATTATTTGTAACAACATAAAGAGAACAGTTTTTGTGTTCTTACTCGCTTGCGCCGGACAGAAATCTCTTGTAAAGGGCGTCCCAGTCTGGAGGAAATCCGTTGGCAAACTTCTTCAAAAGCCACTTGGGTAACCCTGCAGGTGTTAAGTGAGACGTTTATTAATTAAAAAAGTATTAATCCACAAACAGCTTCGATTAGCATGAGTTGTGCCAGATGTTTTTTTTCTTATGCATTTCTGTATTATTTGGGGGTAAATCCAACATGTTGTCATTAGTAAATATTTACTCACACATTATCTGGCCTACCTGAGTCAGAGCTCATTTTCATCCTGTTGACCAGGACGTAAATCCTGCCGGAGACAGTCTTCACCACGTTATTAGAGACTCTGTCCACAACGATGTTACTGTTCCATGGTATCCTTTCCTCGCTGGGTGGAAAGTACAAGTACAAAAGTTTTTAGATTGAACAACATACATTTTTTGATTCAACGATCTCTCAAGAAACACTTACCGGTGGATTCCATCAACAAACAGGCCCTTGTGATTCTTCCTCAGAAACCACTTTTCGAGATAAATCACACTCTCCTGCCAAAGGCGAAAAGGACACGCGTCCGATAAGAACCTATAACCGATTCAATTTCCCTTTTGATCTCATACATGGCTTTAAATCCTCAAAACAAAATGGAACACAGTCTGATTTTGTTTAACAAATCAACATAACGGTCGTTTTCCCTTCATATTGGACTATAAGAGACAACACAACATGTTTTTACTCACATTTGGGAACTTTGTGCCCTGGCGCCATTTATTTCGCTTGAACACAGCCTCCTGCTTCTTTGGTATGGAGATTTGTGGCGTGTTGAGGACGAGCGGGTCCTCCATCAGTAAAGGTTGGCTCAAACCTTCCTCCGAGGGATCCGTGTCCGATGCGCTGCCAGCTGACTCGGCTCTGGACCGGACAACAGGAGCCACACTTTCTGGAGCCCTTCTTAAAGCGCTGTCCTCCGCCTCGCCCGTGTTGTGAACTGTGGACGGAGACAACGTGTCTCCGCACTGATGGAATTCACCTATAGAAAAGAAAGCAGGTGAAAACATGTGTGCATGAGTGCACAGTGAGAACTCTTCATCGCGCACTCACTCGGATCGAAGAGATCCCTTGTGATGCTGCTGACTTTCTCAACTTTCTCCTGCTTCGTTTGACTTTCCCTCTTCTTCATGTAAGCAAACAGCTTAGCTGGAGACATTGGAAGTGTTTTTTCCAAAGGAACATGGTAACCTGTTCAAAACACCAAAGAGGAATCAGTCAATTTGTTCCAATTAAGAATGACATCAACAAAACATGTTAAAAAAAGACAGCAATAACTCCTCACGTTTCATTGCGATGGATCTCGGTGATGGGAACACGGCTTCATGGGTGAATTGGTTCACCTCGGATGGGTCAGCAGATAAACATCTGACTTTACCCAAACTCTCAGTGCAAGCGTTGTTGCCCCCATTGGAAGCACTGGAGGTTTTCCTCTCTTGTTGCGGACCTCTGGGTTCATCGCTGACGAGTCTGTTCAACTCCCGCAGCTCCCGATCTCGCTTTAACTTCTTTCTCATGGGCGAGAACGTGAAGGCTGGAGGCCCGAGTTTGTCAGGAGGAGCACACCCTTCCAGAAACACGCTGCTTTCAAGGTCACCGTCCTCTGGCTGCACCTTTACTGGAGTCCTGCTGGTTACCTTGAAGGCACCCGGGTCTCCGATGTGAGGCGCCTGCGTGTGGATCTGCTCTGCTCTGTTGACGGCAGCAGAGGCCCCTCTGCTCGACACTGCTGTCGACTCGAGGAAAGCCCTCTTCCTCGGTGTGCATTCATGACCGGTTCCTATAACCGGACGCATTTCCTCCACTTGCTTGCTGATCATTTCTGAATGCCGGGGGGTTTTCTGAGGACTCGATATAGGCGAGAGCGTCAAGGCCTGGGCTTCATCGCGATAGGAAGCACACCTGCGATTCTCCTTAAACTCCTCGGTGATCCAGGTGCTCTCTGCTCGCTTCGTCGGTGACATAAAAACAGTTACGTGTTTGTCCCTGTTGTTGCAGCGCGGGTCGTTGCCTCTAAAAGTCTCCTCCTCGGTCTCTTCTCTCTGCACCTTCGACTTGAGTTTGGCGAACACCTTAGCGGGAGATTCAAACCGTGGTGTTTTTTCGCGTAATAAATGATGATACGACGCCATGGTCTTTAGGAAAAATAAAAACGATCGCTGTACATTCGAGGCGTTTGCTAGCGGCTAGCTCGCTAGCTCGCACATTTCAAATTTCGCATCGCCCCCCGCGTTTGGTTAGAAACCCGTGACGTAGAGTCAAAATAAAAACGTCACTTCCGCCACCCGTTCACCCGATTGATATCTAACCAACTAATTATATTTGTTTACAAATATGGATTCATTACTTTTTTATTTGTATTTATCGTCAATATTTTTTATATTTTACTTTCTAAATGTGTTTGATTTGTCAAACCAGTTATGAGACAAGTTGCGTCCGAAGTGCAAACGACAAACGAAGAAGAAGAAGCCTTCTGCGCAGACTCGAAGTCACACTTCCGGGTGAAGGTTGTCGCGTTATAATCTGTCGCTGTCCGAATCAAGTGTCACATTGGGATTCACAGAAAGTATTTGTACGGCATTTGTTTTACATATATGAACAGCGTGACTGGTACACTTAATAGAAACGGGAATGTTATATCTTTAAATAGAATTGGATATTCATTGCTGTCTAGGTCGGCAGGCTTAACACTCTGGAACCGGTGTTGTTAAAGTGATGCAACATGGCAGCAGCTCCTCTCAATAGGTGTCTTCTGTCAGCATTCAGGACACACGCTCGGTGTCAGAGCCGTGGACTCCACTCTGCGGGCGGGAGGACAGTCGGTCGGGGGTGCCCTGCGGTAACATGTGACCACAGCAGAGCCGAGGGGACCACTAGCCTGGACCGGGTACCCTCGGCGGAGTGGGACCGAAAAGGTGGTCGGAACTCCGCCCGCTGCCCTCTGCTCGTGCCGCTGTCGGTGGGTCTGGGACTCTGCGGCGCGGGGCTTCTGGTCAGTGAAAAACATGAACAGGTGAAGGACGGAAGAGACTCGATCTCGGGGCGCTTTCTTGAACTCGTGCTGTCGTCAGCCCAGTGTGCTTCTCCGTTTAAACCGGACAGCCCCCGTTTCAAATACAACTTCATTGCAGATGTGGTCGAGAAATCCACTCCAGCTGTCGTCTACATTGAAATCGTGGGGAGGTGAGTGGACTGAAGGGGGGGTACATGGATATTATTTTATGTTACCACTGTAAATTCCTTTTTTTTTCACCATACATCATATATCAGAGCTTATTTTGATTAGTGTTTCTTATACAGTACAAGTGTTTGGGTAAATATGAGTGTTCACTACTTCATCCTAATATCTAATGTGATGAGGGCCTTAAGGTGGGCCCTCAAACAACATTTAGGTTTTCCTATCTGTGTGGATTGTTCCTAATAATACATCTGCTTTCAAGGGGAATAAGATCGACTGCTTTTCCTCTCTCACAGACATCCATTTTCAGGCCGAGAAGTCCCAGTTTCAAATGGTTCTGGATTCATCATTAGCAGCGACGGTCTCATTGTAACCAACGCTCACGTTGTGGCCAACAAGAAAGGCGTCCGGGTGAAGCTCACCAACGGAGAGACGTACAACGCCACCGTGAAAGATGTGGATCCAGTGGCCGACATCGCCACCATCAAAATCTCTGCAAAGGTGAGCGGCAGAGATCTCTGCTAAAGAGATTAGTGCTTGTTTGTATCTTATCACTGCAACGGCGTTGGCTTCCGTCAGAGTGGTGTGTTTTTTAACAATCCGCCAGCCTGCAGGTGACATTTAGTGTTGCTGACTATAAACGTTATTCTTTTGATTAAGGAGACTGTGAGCATTTTGTTTTTTGCTACATACCTCCTCAGTAGTTGTCTACATATTAGTTAAAAAAACCTCAATGTTCCCTGTACAGTACATAATGCAGTGTCATGGTCGATCAGCTACGTCAGATCATAGCACCTTTTGTGTAGTCAGATTAAATAGTTTATCTTCTGCCTGACAATTTAATAAAAGTCTGGAATTCATAATTCATGCCAATATACCACTATGGGAGAATCAATATTGTTCTTATTTCCCCATTGAAAGGCATTACTGTGATAGAATAACAGAAGGCTGATCCAGCATTTTTATAATAAAACCGTACACTTGCATGAACGGGTCACTCCAAGTGTACTGGGGGAAAAATGAGGGGATTGATGAAATAGGAAGTGGCTTTCTTATGTATGAATTGAGCATTGAGCTGCTGTTGAGCTGTGCTTTCTTTCCATCCCAGAGTCCGTTACCCACGCTCGCCCTCGGCCGGTCGTCCGATGTTCGACAAGGAGAGTTTGTGGTAGCCATGGGGAGCCCGTTCTCTCTACGTAACACAATCACGTCAGGAATTGTCAGCTCGGTACAGAGAGGCAGTAAAGAGCTGGGCCTGTCCAATTCCAACATGGACTACATTCAGACCGATGCAGCCATAGATGTGAGTATTCTGCAATAACTATTAAAAGGATATACGTGTACTGCTTTGATTTCAAATTAGTCAGTTGGCCAGACAGACAAATACATTTGAGGAACAATTTACAGTAACTCAGAACTCACGTGTAACCGTTGTTTTGCAGTTTGGAAACTCTGGAGGTCCCCTGATAAACTTGGTGAGTCACAGGTCTGGTTTACCTGTTTATTGTGATCAGACCTGTTCTGACGTGGAATATTCATATTGGTGTAATGCGGTTGAAACAATTCACTTAAAAGGAACACTTAAAAAAGCACAACATTCTGTCTGAACGGGTTTCTCCTCCTCCTCTTCCTCCTTTTAGGATGGTGAAGTCATTGGAATAAACACAATGAAGGTCACTCCAGGGATCTCTTTTGCTATTCCATCAGATCGCCTCACACTTTTTCTTGACCAAGCAGCAAAAAAGAAGAGTAAGAATCAAAAGCCGCACATCACACCCTCTTTCACGCTCGCGTGGTCTCATGACATTCAACTTTTCAAAGTAAATCATGTTAACACATCTTGCTTTTTGCGCTTCTACTTGAAGATTCTCGGTCCGGTGAATCGGCCACAAAGCGGCGGTACATCGGCGTGATGATGCTGACACTGACGCCGAGGTAAGACCTCCCACTGAAACAAGCTGCAGTTACAGCAGAGCTGGCACCACTGTGTCTAAATCCAGATGTTTCCGATCGGTTCCTTTTGCCCCAGCATCATTTCAGAGCTGAAGTTGAGGGACCGGTCCTTCCCAGACGTCGCATATGGCATCTTGATTCACAGAGTGATTTTGGGCTCACCAGCTGACAGGTGAGCAGACGGAAGGACCGTGGACGGAATGAGTGTTTCATTGTTGGGAGGTGGTACTTGATTTACAGCGGTAGGCGAGGAATTTAACTTTTATGATGTGTTGCTGCCCACCCTGTTTCAGAGCTGGCATGCTACCGGGAGACGTGGTGGTGGAGATTAACGGTGTGAAGGTGAACACCTCGGAGGAGATCTACCAGGCCGTCCGCAGCGGCGACAAAATCACCACAGTGGTGCAGAGAGGACATCAGCTGCTTCGGCTTCAAATTACTCCAGAGAGCACCGAGTGATTTCATGTTCATGTTAACATAAGGGTGAGACAGTCACATGAACAGTTTAAGTTAAGTTTTGAGCTGCAGTATTGTATGGAATTTGGTAATCTGTGAATCTGCCAGACTCCAAAAAAGAGAATAGCTAAAAAGTCCACTATTTATCCACAGGGTTTGAGCATAGCAAACATGTATTTTCTACCTCCTGAAATCCTTCTTATTCATTGGCTGAGTAGCAAAATGAGTCATGTAACATGTGATGAATGGTTTCTACAGGCCACAATACAGTTTTTCTGAAGTACAAACTTCTCAAACTTGGAACAATGTACTTTATTGAAGCCATTTATTGTTGGACGGCAACAAGAAGCGTGAGACAGATAACATGGCACAGATCAGCGGTATCTAACTGACTGCCATTAAACTGAGCAAACCGGTTTGTCAAGTCAAAAGTGCTACCATGATGACTGATCACACACGTAAAACAGGGATATTCCACTAATTTAAAGGACTTGAGTGTGTCACTCACAGTAAAAACAAAAAAAACACGAATTTACTTCATGTTAAAGAAATATGCCAAACATCCATGATGAGAAGCAAAAAGAAAAGTGAAGCAGTTACTCTCCGATCCCATAGTAAGAGTCAAAGCTGGGAAACCACACTGAGTAATCTCCCTGGTTAATGAACAGTAACACACACTTACAGTAAAGTAATAAAGTGACAGGTACTGGACTGCTACACACAAATGCATTTACATCAAAGAAGCGCTAAATGGAGAAAACATTCAAACCACCTGGGGTCTGAACGTGTTCATACTGCACTTGTGACATCTTCGTAGGTACAAGTACTACAACATACAAGTATGGGAGGAAAAATGTACTTGATCAAATCCCATTAAAACGACTTTAAAAAGGCTTAATATATATTGCTGGTAATATTTTTCTTTTTAAGAAAATATAAATTGTGCGACTGAAGCTTACAATACATTGCTGGCAGTAGAGCCAGAGTCTGTGGCGACCTGCTGGAAAAGGGACCATCTGTCGAGGTGACGTGTGCCGAGAGATTCCCCGGAATAGAGAGGAAACAAAACCAAAACAACAAAATAGATAATTGGGACCTCTTCTGATGCCTGACTCCCTTGCACCAAAGCCCAGACACTGCTATGGTGGAATGCTGCAGCTATCACGAGGTGCACAGGCACCAGCCAGCCTGTAATCAAAACTCATACGGTACATAAATAAGGGGACGGGAGGGGGCGAGGGACGGGAAGGGTTCTTGGAAAGGTCGTGAAAATAAGAGGGCAAAATTGTAGTGTCCAGCAGTGAACGGAGACTCTCATTTTAGTTAAATTGCGTTGACGAGGTCCAGAGCGCACAGCAGCTCCTCTCCCTGCAGCAGGGACTGACGACCCTGCAGGGGGGCGTTGACCTCGCAGTCGTAGCGGGTGAGCTGTGGCAGGGTGAAAGGGGAACTGGTGCCGTCCGATGTGCTTCCCAGAAGACGACTCGCCAAATCTACAAGAGAGATATGAGAGTTTAGTATCATGCAGCAGACTAATGCAGACTAATTGTAGATCCGGTTTAGTCACCTGACGGCAGCAGAAATATGGTCCTGGTCGTTTCTGACGGCGAGGCCTTCAGCTTTTTGCCCTGCTCCACCTGTTCCAGAGGCAACGTCTTCTGTGAAAATCAAATAAAAACACTCAAAGTCTCCATCTGCAAATATAAAGTTAGATCTACATAATCCACTGTTGAATGTTGGTGCCTTACCTGTCCAATAGTCTGTATTGCATCACCCAGCTTCCTTTTGCGTTGGGAATTTGCAGCTGCCAGGGTCATGAGCGAGACCTCTTTGTCCGGCTGCGGGATTCTGTGGCACAGAGAGAGTGCTCAGTTAAAAAGCCAAAAGCCTTATGAAGCAATTAAGGTGGAGCACATGGGAGGCTTTACCTCTTGGCAGCGATGGTGGCCGGCTGAGGGGCTTGAAGCGGTGCTGGTGAAGCTGTGCGACTGCCTGGTGCACTGAATGGGGAGCTGGGATAGCTGTGGATGTCCTGTGCCACGTGGACTGGAGAACCTTGAAGGGATTTGACTGATCCACTAGACAAAGACTCTTCCGGGGTCAGACTGCGCAGCTGGAAGTCATCATCCATAGGGATGTAAGGAGCTAACATCTCCAGATCCAAGTCTTCCATTGCCTTTGGGGGAAGAGAAAAAAAAGACCTTTTTTTCTGCGCTAGTTCCATAATTAACTTGATTTGACCACATGACATCTACAGCATCTCCTGGAGTTATTACCTGGGTGGTGAAGGGGGTCTTGGTCTCTGTATCAATTGCAAACAGCCTCTCCACCAAGTCTAGTTTGAAATCTGAGCTCATCTCTGAGTCCATGGGGTAACAAAAGTCCAGCGGACTGTCGGCCTAAAGAGAAGTCAAAGGACATGAAATATATTATAAATATAAATATATATGAAAAAGTATATAGTCTGAGCCGCACAATGACACCAATTGACCCTCTGACCTTTGAGGAGCGGTGGATGGCCGATGAGGTGGACCGGGCTGGAGCGTAGCTCTTAGCTTTAGCATCCTCAGAGCTGACGGCGGTGACACGGAGAGTCTCGCTCAGCGGCAGAGGGGAGAGAGGCGGAGTCAACTGGTCGCCGGTGGAGGGAAGCATTACATCATTGTACAGGGGGACCTCCTTCACCAACAGGATCTCGGACTCTGCACCGGAAACACAAAAGGCAGGTAAGAATGGTTTCACACAGGGATTGTTCTGCTGCGGAGAAGCTTGAGCACTGCGAGGCCACAAACCAGGGCAGCTGAAGTCCAGGGAGATGACGGCGTCTCCAGCAGCGGGGGCCAGCAGAGTGAGGGCCTCCGGCTCCGCCTTCAGCTGGTCGTACAGGCTGGCTGGAGAGTCGACCTCTGCTGCCCGTGTGAACAGTTTGATCACATCCAGCTCCGGGCTCTTCTCCTCGTCCTTGAGCGGGGACTGAGACAAGTTGGGCTGGCTGCTCTCAGCAACTTCCTTTTCTGCCCGCTGCAGCAGCTCCTCCGTCACTGGCTTCACATCCTCGATTTGATCCATGGACAGTATCAGTTTCTCCTCCTAGATGCCACTGTAACAGTGTATGCAGCGTGAGATTGAGTTTACTCTATTTTGCAATGGCTCTGAAAATACACCACAAAAACATAAACAAAAAATAGTCTGTAATCTGTCTTTTTTGTACAAGGCAGATATTTAGCTATCTCATTTCAAAAAAACAAAACAAGTGATGAGCCTTTATAGTACCTGAGCACAAAGTTGACACAGACAACACACTGTGGCTGGGAGTTCTTGTTGTTGTAGATGATAGTGGCTTGAGTTTCCACCCACACAAAGCCTCCTCTCTTGGCCAACATCCGGTACTGGCCTGTGCTGACTTGGCCCTTTGCAAACACTTAAGAGAAACAAAAAGAAAATAAGAGAAATAGATTTTGGCAAAAATAACAGTTATATGTTATATATTTTTCAAACAAATTCACAGCACAACTTACAGTTGTGGTGAGTCTTGTTAAGATGGTCCGAGTCCAGAGCATGATAGTACTCGTACACAGAACGATCCAACAGGTCCTCTGGATCATATCCCATGAGCTCAGTGATCCTGGTCAGGCCAAAAAAAGCATTCTCTCAATTCCACTGCTGACGCAGACAAGCGTCTGCAGCATCCACAATGAACACTGGGTGGCTCTGTGTGACTTTATACCGCGGGCTCCGGCAAAGATAAAAGTAAAAGTGGAGGCTCTCGAGGAGCCGAGTCAATGCGTGAAAAGCTTCTTAATATTCACTCAGACGGGCACGCTCACCTTTCATCGCAGTACGTGAACTTCATGTCCATCGTATGGCGGCTGAGAAAAGTCTTGGTGTCAAGAGGGACCTCAATGTTGGAGGGATGTTGGATGGGATCACAGATCAGAACCAGGTAGGGGGCTGGGGGCTCCTTGTGCCCGTTGGAGGTCTCCTCGGTGGGGTTGTCATGTACACGCACATGACCAGAGCAGTGGAGCACCTAGAGAGCAACATTTGGTTTTGTAGATATTTCCAAGTAAAATGTTTCTGAGGCAGCAGAAATTCTAAAGAGTCAAGTAAGTAAAAAAAATATCTAATCAAATATTCAAATACATGTATGTTTTTGGCATGTGGGCAGGTCAACATTTCTCCATTACATAAAAGAAAATGTTTTCTCAACACGTCCACTAGGAGGCAACATTACATTTGGGTGCATGTAAAAAGTATTACTTTTGAGAAATTTGAGATTACGTGCAAATAAATTATCTTCTAATTAAACTCTTTTTTTATATAAGTTGTTAAAGCTTTTAAAGTAATGGCGCCATCAAATGCAGGGTTCATGTATGCTATATATATCGACAGACACAATGGTGTCATTTGTAATAAGACTATGATGATGGTCCATTTCCTTATACGTAGGACGTAGACATACAATGCAGTCTGTATCCGTCTAGTTTTGCCATTTCAAATCCGTAGCTTTTCTAACCTTTCAACTACACGTCAATTGTATTCATGTTTCACTTTGAACATCAGCACACAAAAAAATTGAAAATAAAAAGTTTACTCTAAAAGGGCATTTAACACAATAACTGGCACTACAGTCAGATAATTTGACTTCCACAATTACTTGAAGGATAATATAGTTCCTGTTCAAATGTTCCCTGACCTTAACAACACCTCTGGTGGTGATAGCCATACTTGTAATAATTATATTAGTACTTTTTGTCACACGTTTTACCTTCCATGTAGCTGATTTGACGTTGACAGTGCGCCCCCTATTGGTGAGAGTGCATTTCATTCGCAGGAAGAAGCTGCGCTTCGTGTCTGCCTCCTTGGCCTTTTTGGAGCCTGAAATACCAAACAGGAAGAGATGTTGATTTTGTCCATCTTGCATTCATCCATTCAGTGTTTTTACCATGATCCTTTGGCAACTACCAAGAGTTCACATTTGCATTTTGAGGATGTGTAAAGCCATCATTTAAATAGTCAAATAGGAAGAGGAAGTGGAGCACCAGCCGTCGCTGCTCAGAGGCCAAACAGAAAAGCCAATGTAGACTACTATGCATCGCACTGATGACAAGTGCATTTCAAAAAGCTCCAGTGAGAAACTTAAAAGCAAACGGGTTAATCCACCAACAAAGCAAGGCCAGATTGTGTCGTGCAAGTAGGAAACGCGCCAACGACTCTGCTCCGTGAAAGGTCACTTGATTCCAACACTAGCCAAGCGTAATTTCTTTAACCTGAAGTGGGAAGTACAAACATGTTCTGACAGCCTGCTGGTTTGAATTGGCCAAAAAGAGTTAATTGGATTCCCTGCTATGGGAGCACTGGCGCGCCTGACTGAGTGCTTGTGTGTTTCTGTCCACTCATTGTTGTTATGCCTCACCGGTTTTGTGGACCAGCATCTCCCTCAGCTCTTCCTGGTCGCAGGGATGTATGAAGTCAAAGACACTTTGTCCAGTCAGGTCAAACTGCAGCAGAGAAAGTCCTGTTACCATCAACATGTCCATACAGCAGTTTATGGTGGACATTGTGTTGCAATTTCTGTAATGATTCAATAGAAGGCCTAACGTGCATGTGGCTGTTTAATTAGCAGTATCTGTAAAAACCCAAGATTATTTCTGTTTCTGACTCCATTTTTACCCAGCAATCTAATGCCATTTTCTGTATGGCCTCTTTAACGTGGACAATTGAGACCCACCTGTGCCATCCCGAGACACTTGTTAACATTCTCGGAGAGATAGATCATATCTCCATCTTCCGACAGGACCAAAAGAAAGCCGTCCAAAGCCTTTAGGTAGGCGCTGTTTATCTGTGATTCCAGCTCAGTTTCCTCCTCTGTCACCGGCTCATCTAGAAAATATAAGGCAGGAGAGAGATAAAGGAAAGTTGGGAAAGACAATTAAAAAAAAACAAGACATTGACATGAAAAGCTGTCAAGGGAGAAGCCTTTAATTTACATTCGTTTAATCAAGCTACAACAGCTATGGCTACTGACCGTTGTGGAGCAGTTTTCTCATGCACAGGTAGCTGATGATGAGCCTCATTATGGAGGCCTTGTCCAGGCCGGAGGTGACACTGTGGGGCAGCGGCAGCTCCTGTGCCAGCTCGTAGAACACCTCCGACTCCTTTCCACGCCGGCATCGCGCCGCATCCCTCGACTTCTCCTTTCTCCGCTCCGAGCTCACCCTGCAGGAGAGAGGCGGCACGTCAGCCGGACCGCAAACCGGTTCAACGCACACTGCAGGACGCATCACCCCCCCACCCACGCCTCCCCTGCCGACTAAGTGAGTGGATCTGGTCGGCCACGGCGCGGCAGCAGCTGGAGCCCTAACAAGCAAGCTCACAGTCAAGCTACTGTCTGGATGGCTGGCAGACTCATTTACATAAATGCCTGCAACAGTCTTATTGGCGCTTGACCAGACAAAATGTCTGTTTCCCCCCCCACCCGGAGTAGAGCATCCTGTCACAGACCGAGAGCCCACAGAGTGAGCGACGCCTGCAATACCGGGACCAACAACAACTCCATTTGCATGCATTAGAACTTCTTACCACTTGCACTGTACCTTTATTAGATCATTTTAACTATAAAGACTCTCAAAACACTGCAAACCAGTTCTTGGAGACAAATGAGACGAACAGAGGATGTCTAACAATGGAACAACCGTGGCAATGCTTTGCGTTTTTATTTGTGAGGGTGAGCACGTGGCCAGTTCACATGATGACCGCTAACATAAATAGACCGTCTAAGTGGGCAACATAATAGCAACAGTCAACCTAAGCGCTGCAGACTCTCTGCCATTATCTCTCACGACCACGACCTCAGAACCTCAAACGCATTTAGATGAAACTGAAGCAGCATCCCCACTAAAGAGAAAGCAGTTCACAAACCCTCGGCTCTGAAATGTACACCTAATTGAAATCGATCTGTGATTGAACAAGGATAAGCTGTTATTTAAAGTTATCAAACGAGAAGATGGAGCAGCAGACTGCAATCCCCCTCCTGCATTTTTACAGGTTTTTATGGAATTGAGACGGGGGGTTGATTAAGGATCAAAACCTTCCATCAAATGCAGACAGATAGACGCAATAATAATAAATAACCCATAAAAAAATCCTGCCGAGACACGTGATGCGTAACGGAGGCTTTTACTCGGAATCTCCCTCCTCTAGAAGGTGTGTGTGTGTGTGTGTGTGTGTGTATATACACTGCAGGCTACAACATGTTTCCACCAAGGCTGCTATTACAGCTGCATGCAGTCAGCCACATGTATGCACATTAGTAATGTACAATAGGAACGAGTTATGCTCCCTTCTGTATCTTGTCGCGTTTCCTTTCTTATGCTCGGACCTTTGGCTCCTGCCGCAACAACCTCCTGAAACCCACATTCATGTAAGTTCACTCATCCTCACAGGGGGAAATGATTACAAATTCTAAACAGGTCATTTTACAAAAGGCACGCAGGGCAAGTGCTGTGCTGTGCTGAGCTTCTGATACTCTGATGACAGATACACTGCAAATACTGTCCCACTGGAGGCTAGATGATTGATCAGTACAAGCGTGTGGACACATTGATTTCATCTACAGTGGCCACACCCATATTATATCACACAACTATATGCAAATCCTAACTTCAGCTTCAATATTCCACTGTAATACCGCTCCAATGAACACAGGGGGACTCCTGCATTCAGCAATCTATTTTCAGTGTCTAATGTAGTTAAAGAGTACACTAATAGAAGCACTTTTAAGGCATTTTCAGTACTGTTTTTCAACTAAGGAGGAGAAGAAAACTGCTTATACGTATGATTCATGAAGCATGAAATGAAAACAAAACAGTTCCCTTGATGGTAAAACATAGTTAGTTACATAACATGAATGCAGATGGCCATGAATGCCCAGCGGCCTTTTGAGATTTGCCCCACTGGATACACAATCACACGTCCAGCTCTGAAGAACCAGTGTTCTCTTCTGTTAATGCATATCCCATTATGTGCACTGAAGTTATTTAAAGTGTTAATACGTGTGAGATTCTTGGGGAATACACAGCGTACAGAGACAAAAAGTCATGTCAATGCTGCCAGAGTTGCGTGTGTATTTTGACCGATTTAGCAAGAGAAGCATTGTCTCTGTGTCAATCCTTTGTAGTGCCACACAAAATATCCTCATGTCTTGTGGTGCTCTCATCAAGCACCACAGGTAAAACACGATAAGCCAAACAATACTGACAGTAAATTAACCCGTGGAGTGGTATTAATATAGTGGGTGACATTTTGGAAACAGCATGACATAACATGACATAAAGTACTGGATGATGTAATCCATGTTACTCCCTAATTTAGGAGTGGAATATTGCCGCCAGCATTCAGTGCCCTGGTTCAGGGGGGGGGCAGTTATTTCCTTGTGTTCAGCTACTCAATAAATAACGTTAATGTAACTAATATTTTACAAGAAACTTTGTTTCTGGTACTTGCAAAGCCAAAAAGGACCCACATTATTTCATTATGGAGGTTACAGGCTACAAAAACTGATTACTTACATCCGCCAAGTGCAACACACACAATTCATTCTGGTTCACACTGGTTGAGAAACGAGAGTGCTACCAAGCCACAACTCATTTCTACTGATGTATAAAACAACACAGCTATTTACTGAGACTTAACAATTCCTTGAACCTTTCTTAGACCTATAAAAAGTAACAACGTTCAAACCGGCACGAGCGAAGCCCACCGGCCGGTGGGATGCAGTCTACGACAACAACACACGGCAAACTGTGTCTGTCCGGCCCACAAAGACGACTCTTTTTAGAGTTCATCGCCCTGGTTCAGCAGTGCAGGAAATCGTACCACGTAATGACACTCAGCCAAGCAATTACGCATGTTCCGATAAGCGTCACACCTCCGGGGACGTTGACACACACACACACACACACACACACACACACGAGCCACAGAAGTTATTTCACATGGCGCTCTCCAAGAAGAGATTCTCAGAGAGGGAAACCAGAGACTTTAACCAAGAATGGACTCTTTTATGTCCTCATTCCTTCGCCGTTCAAAACCTTCTATGTTCAGAGACCAGGACAGTTGTTAGAAGGAGTAACGTGAAGGACAATGAGACAAAGCACTAATTATTTGAGTAAACCGACCCACTCAAATCTGCCCCCTCCCCCGGCATAAACAAACTAAGATCGCAATTTGATCATAATCATAATACCGGCCATCAAATTTTTGTTTTTTTAATTGGTCATAAGTGTTTGATTACATACTTTGGTTCATGGGACATTAGTTTAAATACACCAGACCTTTGACAGAGGAAGTTCTCTAACTGCACCTCCATGAATTTTAATTGAACACCCCCGTGTTGGGTACAGGTGGAGAACACCAACTTCTTAACAACAGCTCGGTGGGGTTTTAGCATGTGGGATGAAACTTAAGCTCTATGGAACAACTATCCGCCATGTTTAGTGAACAACTTTTCAAAGACATCTGGGGGGGGGGGGGGGGGATTTTTATATCAACTCGACCATGCCAATCAGTTAAGAAGTTGTCCAGGAAGCCTTTGTGCAAAGGGAATCCTTCTTTAAGACAACTCTATTGTACAATACATACAAAATGTGGACTGAAGTAGTCTTGTGCTTCCTTGCTGCTATCCCCCTCCCCCCATCTTACAGGGGAAGGACCCCCCCACCATGCTTCCTGCACACTCTAAATAGGCGGTCAACAATCAGCTGATTACCCGTATTACATTTATTTATTAGTTATGAGCTTTATAGACTTTTTGTTTCCATTTGAACCACCTTTTCCCACAAGTGTCCCTCAAAAACAGAACTTATAAATGATTATACCTTGAGAATTGTGGGTTTATTATTTGCTTGTACAGATTTCAAAAGGTTTGCCGATGACATTATTTTGTGTTTTACACTAAAGAAGTAATCAAAGACTAATCAATAATGGAAACACTTGTTAGCTGTTGCCTGCATTTGACCTGTAAATGACATTGAAATTGGCCAGATGTTATTGTCCTGCCTTTTTGGCTAAATTATCACGATTATCAATTGCTTAGGTAAATAGAAAAAAAACTTTCCACGTAAACCTTTAAAATAACTAGGAAATTCAAACCACGGCCAATTTCACCAACCCTAAATATTTCATCAGAAACCACACACCTCTTCAGTGCTGCTCGCACGAATAAAAGCTGGCAGCTTCTCACAACACAAGGTCGACGTCACACAACAACACCACGTTAATCATACATAATACATAATATATAACTTAGTTTACTATTAATTGGATTTAAAACGAACACGTCTGTCATAATCAAAATAAATATACATATCACATTGAGGGTTAAACACCAAAACGTAGTGATGTTAGCGAACAAGATTGATTTATTTACGAGGCAGATTTGTTCTAAATACAGAAGAGTCACCTGCGGCGTGGTGTGTGAACAGGTTGACGTTAACGTCAACAGCTCGAACGCTAACGTTACTTCTGGGGCAGCTAGCTAGCTAGCTAGCTTTAGCTAGCGTGTTAACTAGGCCGGCAGCTTGCTAACGCAGTTTTTTTTTACGTACAAACCGGCGAAACTGGCTGTTAACCTTGAAGTAAAAAGGCCAGAGTGTCACATCGCGAGTAGTAATCAGATCACAACCGAAGACTAACGTTGTTAAGTCAGCTCTGAAACAACAAGCGTAGCCTGCCTGCGCAGCATTACGCAACGTTAGCATTGACGTTACCTTTTCTTTTCTGGTACAATTCCTGTGTCCATGTCAGGACGAAAGGACCGGGGTAGAGTCTCTCTATCGAGATTAAGCCGTATCCGCACCCTCTGAGAAATGAGGAACAATTCCGCAAATGATTGACCGGTATCACTCGGTAAATCCTCAAACACGTTGCATACGAGTTATCGCTGTATCAATTCGCTGTTATCCGCTAAAAACATCCCATTCGTCTACTTGGCTTCAGCGGCGGTGCCACGCTGGTGAGGGTTTACTCCGCAGAGCGACTCCTCCCGCGCGGGGACGCGCAGTCACATGCTCCCTCCATCGAGGACGCGCACTGGAAAATCTGATGGAGCCAGAACAAATTTATAGTAGTTTGTTACAGTGTTGGATTACATTTTTTTGTTCGAAGAATTTTACGTTTTAAAAAGTCAAGGTGTATTGTCGGGAATTTAATGAGTTGGTTTCCTTGGTTGGTAGTCTCTTTCAACTCACTATAATTGTGATAAGACAATAGTGTTTTTTAAAACATATTTTCTCCAGTGCTGTGTACAAAATAGCATTATATCATAGCCAAGATGTGTGCATTTGACAGGTTTCAATCCCACTTTGCATTTATGGGCCATGTTTTCGGTTATTTTCCTGAAGTTGTTTGGAGATTTCTGTCCAGTAGCAGTGAGTCGTAGTCAGCTATTCACATTAACTGTGATTCAACTTTGGCTTTAGAGAAGTAAAACATTTGGAAATGGATTTCCAAACCTCCCAACACACATAAAAGTTCATTCAATTTCCTTTTTACTATATTGCCTAACTGATCTTCGTCGCCTTAATTAGCACACATCGGCCGTAAGATCTGGGAAAGGACGAATTGAAGCAATGCTTTCACACTTCCCAGACAGTTGTCTGGGTGGGGCGACATGCGAGTGTGTCACAGGTAGACTTTGACTTGGTAACAATCAAATACGGGAACGCCACGTTGAGTAGCTTTACTCAACAGCGGTGTGAAATCAATGAACAGGACATTTAGAAAATGCTTGCAAACACGGAGCAGAGTAGAAACGCATACATGTTATGCATCAAGTCTACTCAAAGCTTTTCTTCTATAGCTCGAGTTATATAGTCCAAAGTGATACACATCTGTATCTCCCCCCCCTCCTGAGGAGAGGGGGTGGCGGGGGGGTTGGTCAGCTCTCATCTGGTCACCTTTACACCAAAGGGAGGGATAGCATTGACATCCATGATTGGAGGAGGAGGAGATGCCAGAGAAGACGTTGTTTTCACCTGAACGAATAAACTTTACATGAGCTCCTGGGAAACTGTCCTGATCCTGAATTGATGGAAATATAGAAACTGATCCGTTTATCACAGGAACACCATGTTCATGTGGTCACAGACCATTTTTGAATTTTCCCAACGTATACCGTGGGAATTTAGTTTCTAGGCCTATAAACTGTGCGAATAACAAAATCCGTGAAAATCATACAAGGATTCATGCGGTTTTCACACTAAAGTAGCAGCGCTTCATCGGCAATGACCGAGTGTGTGTTGCATCAAATCATTTTGTTTTTACTTTTTCTACACTATTAGTCAGTCTGGAAAGGTAAAAATTTCACCACGTAACAAAGGGGGTGAGATTATTATATTTGTAACATCTCTTAAGATTAAGCTCAATATTTTTAACAGGGAATCACTGGTGACGTCGAAGTCTGGACAGCCTGGACAGGAGCGTTAAGCTGACTCAATCAAGCAGAGAAGAGGCACCGCCGGGAGCCATCCATGAGTCTCAGTAATGGAAGCTGAGACAAGGCTCCTCCATCTTCCGTCTCATTCAGACATTACTTTTCAGAGGAAAGCTGCCGAACGGGCTCACGGAAAAAACAAAAACCTAAAGTCATTTGATCTAATGTGTCAATATTTGTATAGAACTCACTCAGTAGATTAGTTAGGATGCTATTAAATGCACTTTTAAAAGTTAAACATTGTAGTTTAACAGGAACAAGATGGAATGTGAAGTTGCATTATTAGTAGTTCTTTTAATTTTGTTTTTGCAAATAAGCAAAAGCAGTAAAAGCACTGCTTTTAGTTTCAGATTCTTCACATATGTATTTGTAGCCACACATTTACAGCGTCTAGTCACACGGCCTGCGACAGGATACGGGTTGAAGAGACAAACAGATGTGGAGCCTGAAGACTTCCTCCTTGAAACTAACAGGAAGAATTCATCTCCGCTTTAACGGTCATCACGGGGAACACAATATACCTTTTGAAGTGTCTTTTTTCCCCCTCATTGTTGCCAGCAATAGCAAATACGGTATGATATTCTCGCTTCTTAAAGAGCCCCCGAAAAAACATAATTATTGTGTCTTCCTGTTTCAATGGGCGCCGGCAGCAACGACGCTGTGTGGTTTCCTGTTTAGTCTCTACAGGTTTGCAAAGAGAAGAAATGAACTGTTGAAGGCCTCCACCAAAATGAGGCCAAAGTTACTGTACTGGAGGGTCACAACTTTAATGTTTCCTCTCGGTCCGTCTCCCTAAACACCCCTAATTAATATATTCTCACAGTGAGGGTGGCCTAAGTGTTCAGCAGCCAGTGCACTCAAAAATCTTTATGGGATTTTAAAGTATGAAAAGGCCTGTGTGAGCATTCGATGGCTCTGTTTGTTGAGAGGAACAAAGAGAAAGTGTGTGTGTGTGTGTGTGTGTGTGTGCGCAGAAGACTGTTTAATAGCTGTTTGCACTTGCAAAACCGCCACATGCGCGTCTTCTGTAGATGGCAATTGACCAACACCATACTGGTAACAGCGTAAGCGTGTGGCGTAATCTCAAAAGTTTTGGCCCTGATTCAGCGTGAATCACCACCGATCCTTCACTTCTTCCGACTTCATTCAAGAGAATTATTGAGACGTTTTTCTAACGGAGTTTGACCTATAAACACCATCGATTATCCCACACTGCCTGCAGCCATTTAGATAAACCATCCGTGTGATTGTTTTAAATGTCATCTAGCCCCTGCGTGCGGGTCGCTGAGCACTGGTTTCTCTCCAGCACACGGTCACATCACTGAATAACTATTTCATTTGCTCGCTCAGTTCTTCTCAGGTTTTGAGTGGGAGCTTGACTTCTTCTGGCCGGCTGGCTCGTTATTTATTCCATTCTCTAGACAAACGTAAAAAACAAACTATTTTTTTTCTCCATTTGAAGGCGAGGCAAATTCAGACAAAAATGTACAAAACAATTCTGAGGTTGTAGAGCTTACACGGTTACAATACGCCACATGTCAAATACACAGACGCTCGGATGAATGAGTCCCAACCGCAAAACTAAAAGTCACTTTTGAAATGTGATCACATTCCCCTCTTTTGGGGGTCCACAGGAATGCTTAAGAGTTCATAAGGGACAGACTCAGCGGTTGTCAAGCTTGTGTTTGACGGACTCCTTGGCAATTTGCACCTCCGTGTCTCCGGGGAATGTGACAGCATCGTACTGCCGCTGGGAACAGTCTTAGAAGAAGCCACAGACACAGAGACGAGTGAGAGGGTCCGCGAGGAGACCCTCATCTCTCCAGCAGCTCAGGCGACGTGTAGGAGAAGTTACGGAACTCTTCCCTGGTTGATGGAGGGGATCAGCGGTTCGTCGATGGGCGTGAGGGTGGGCGCTTCCTGAGTAAAATCTGGGTCAAAGTTGTTGACGTCTTCTGCTGTTTCTGGAGAATGATACAAAAAATAATAATAATTAAGATTTTAGCAGAAAAACACAGCTGGGTCACACAATGCTCAATGTCTTCATTATCATTCTCACACACATCAAGTTATTCATTCCACTTACGATCCTGGGCTTGAAAGGTGGCTCCATTTCCCTGCGATTCAGCTTCTCCCAATCAATGTCGGCGAAGAAGGCGTGGCTGGTCACGGCGTCCTCGCCAACCCCTGAGGCCACACAGCCCAGACGCCGGGCGGGGTTTTTGGTCAGGAGCTGTGAAAACACAAAAATGCCGGATGAATACGGAGCGATTGAATCCATCCATCCATTGTCAAAGCGCTTATCCTGCACACAGGGTCGCGGGGGGGCTGGAGTCCATCCCAGCCAACTTCGGGCGATAGACAGGGTACATCCTGGATTGGTCGCCAGCCAATCGCAGGGCTACACAGAGACATACAACCATTCACACTCACATTCACACATCTACGGGCAATTTAGAGTCCCCAATTAACCTGATCCCCAGAGCATGTCTTTGGACTGTGGGAGGAAGCCGGAGAACCCGGAGAGAACCCACGCAGACACGGGGAGAACATGCAGACTCCACACAGAAAGGCCCCTGGGCGGAATCGAACCCAGGACCTTATTGCTGAGAGGCAACAGTGCTAACCACCACGCCGCCGTGCCGCCGGAGCGATTGAATAAGAGATTAAATCTGTTCTCAAAGAGAAGATGCACACAGATGATAGCAAAAGCAACAAGGTAGCATGAACGAGCTCGCAATCAGGGGAATTTCCGCGAATCACAATTCCCGATCTGTAGACAGCGGAGGGATTAATCATCATGACACATGCTATTCAACTAGATCGGACCAGATTTCTTTGGGAGTGACGCCAAGCTGGACTCCAGCCAGGTGAGTTTGGCAGCAATCCGCGCCTCCCAACTCACACAAAGCAAACACACCCCGCTTGTATCTCTCACAATGCTTCAATTGAAGAGAGTTCAGAGTTCGGCCGGGTTCAAGCGCAAAAAAGGTTTCCCAAATTCCCGGTGTTGTTTTTAGGCATGAAAAGAAGAAAGACACAAACAGCGTTGTATTTGTCTGCAAACAAAGTAGCTGTGGGTCCAGAGAAAGAGGTGCAAACTAGAAACATGCTCAGAATTGAAGTACTTTGTTTTAGACCTCCTGTGGAATGAAAGTAAAAACAGAAATGTGTTTTGTAAAGTGAGTCTGTGCACACCTCCGGGCTCACGGTGACATTTAGACTGGGATGCAACAACAAACTGACGGGTCAGCGGTTCAGATTAACAGATTAATAGGTCTTACTACGTTAGTTTCAAGACACTATTAACTACCGGTGACAAGAGGAAAAAGTAAATCCAAAGACGAATAGACAAAGCCAATTAGAGAGACGTAAATGCAGATGAAGAGGATTGTTCCAAAAGGAGAGATAAGGAGATGAGGGGGGGTTGAAATTAAAGCGGCTACAGCTTTACATAGGTTAGTCCTTGTTTTCGCAAACACACAGCTGCTCCCATGAAGACATCTCCGGGGGACAAACATACACACATACACACAACACATTTGAGAGTAGGCTTCAGACTTTCCTCTTGGATAGCGCTCATAGTGCCGGGGTACTTTGCTAGGATACACTCAGTCTGGGAGGAGGTTTCAGACCGCAAAATGTAAGAAAATGCATTGCACGGAATTTTCCGTGGCTGCACGTCAGCCGTGCCATCCTCTGCACCAGACTTGCCGTGTCAGCATTGCCACATAAAGAGCCACACATTCTCCACTACACCATCAGCGAGAAATGCTGAAACCAGCGCAGAAGGTTTATAATTTAATGAACAGTTTGATTAATCATTTAATTCGTCTAGAAAAAAATATAAGTTATTTGCTAATTCCGACTTCTGTGTTGAGGGGGCATAATACAATCCATTTAAAATTGAACTTCTTCAGGGTTTGGAGTGATTAATGGGATAAAAATGCGATGTGAGAACCCCCCCCCCCTCTTTGATTTGAACATTTTATACTGTTTTGAGACAATTAAAATCTCCAAATGAATGTAATTATTTGTTTCAGACCTACCTCATAGCTTCATCTCATATTCAACATCTGCCCGTTTGTAAACCACCAGGGTCATTATTGTCCACACATTAATCTGAACTTTGTGAAAAGCCGCAACGGATCAATCAACATAAATAATAGTGCAACAGCGTCCAAATCCGCTCACGCCAACAAACGTCTTTGGCCATTCGACAGAGGCGGCAGTGACACAGATCACCGGGGGGGGGGGTCGGCCCGATGCTTCCTGAAGAGCATCGTAGTGACCGAAAGGGTAAGAGATGGAGAACTGGGTGCAAAGACGGGGCGGGGGGGTGGAGTGGAGGGGGGTCGTCGTATTTATAGCTTGTGTGCAGCGGCTGGGCACGGGACCATGCCTTAATATAGTTATGCAAGAGACCCAGGCCAAACGTCTGTCCGGCAGAGCTCCATCGTCACTCTGCGGTCACAGAGTCTGAAGGACAAGAAATAATAAACCTTGAGATGTCGAGCCTGTTCCAACCTTTGGGGTCTTAATTTATCACACGGCTCAAGTCACACGGTCGGGGATTTGGTCCTTTTTTTTTTTTTCGCTCCATAATGTTGTGGGCAAGTGATTTCTTCTATCAGTATTTCAGTTTCAAAAAAGCTTTGTAAACATATCCTGCATTTGTCCACTGTGGAAAAAGCCACAGCGTGGCCAGCTAAGGGAGCGTGGATGTCTGCCAAATGACAAAAACTACAGATGGACTTCCGTCCATCATTTAACTCCTACAAGTTGCTGAACCATTTTATAAAGATGCAGACTTACAGCTTTGAGTATATTCACTGCCTCGGCACTGAGCCAAGACGCATAAACAATGTCTTCGTTGAGGATGGATTCAAAGAGGTCATCTTCATTTTCGGCCTCAAAGGGGGCGTGTCCCGACAGCATCTCATACAGGAGCACCCCGAGAGCCCACCAATCAACGGAGGGCCCGTACAGCATCTCCTGCAGGATCTGTGGGAAACATCACAGCAAATCATCAAAGTCAGCTGATGCACAGGGAGCAGAGGCTTGAGACTTGAGGACAACGAATGAGCCTTTCATGAATTGCAAAAAATCCCGTAAAAATGTAATTTCTCATTATGAAAACAAAGCACGTCTGTAAACGTGGCGAATCGTCGATTCACACAGCTTTTCATAAGCGACCTCACAGCTACGCGACTTCAGTAAGTCAGAGTGTTACAGGCAGTGACCGCAGTGTTGGTTTATTGTGAGGTGGTGTGAACGGGGGGGGGGGGGGGGACGGCACTTGGAACTGCAACATATAAACTCAGAAACCCCAGGCTGCGGGAGGCTGAAGGTGCTCGAATGTGTGCTTTGCTCAATTCTAAATTATATTCAAACTGAAATTCATAAGAAACATGGAAATGTAAACCGTATTCACAGGTGTGGTGGGTAAAGGATCCACAAACCCGTCCTTAGCAGTAGTTATGGGTCTCATGGGAAGTCAGGTGATACTATATTAGTTAGTAATGGGTGTTCAGCGTGCAGAAACTTACTTCAGGGGCGATGTAATCCGGGGTCCCACAGAAAGTTCCTGTTGTTATGCCGTCAAAAATGCCCTCTTTGCACATGCCGAAGTCTGCCAACTTACAGTGGCCGTCTTTGTCAAGAAGAACATTGTCCAACTTTAGATCCCTGATTCACGAACACAGAAAGTAAAAAGGAAATTAGACATTTGATTTGGAAACTGTTCCAAAGAGGTTTGTGCTCCGTGCACATCGCACCTTGTTGGTGTTGTTTCAGATGCACTGTGAGTAAATAGATACAAGATGCAGTGGTATTATTTTGCAATTTGGAACATCTATTTACTCTAAGAAACGTTCATACATGGACACACCGTGAGCCCATTCGCATCCACGTGGACAAGCAGAGCCAGCGGTGGCTGTGCTCTACCGCGCAGCTCAGTCACAGGTTGAGATATTATCGTATGACAATATTAATTGAAAATAAAATGTATTGTAATATCATTTATAAGTATTTTATTCTGTTAATGTCTCCATAACAAAAGAAGGAAGCCCAAATTCCTCCGTATTAATAAGAGCTGCTGTTTTGTCGTCTGACAGTGAGATTAAACCTGACAGTTAAACTCTAATCTGCGATCATGTGACCCAATTCAAGACCAAAGTCCCTTTATAGACATTGTCTGAAACTGGATAAGAGATTCAATGTTATAGTGCAGGCTGATGCTGAAGACGACATTTGGGAGATTAACTTAAAAGCAACAAAAAAAAAAAATGATTATTTCATCACCGGCAGAATGAATTATTGCTCAGCTAAGAAATGTAAAAAAGAAGCATTTCCTCAAACAGTGACGGTGACATTTGAATGAAAAGAAACAGGCAGCCTGCTGGTCGAGCAACACTGGTTTGTTTGGATTAATCTGGTTTACTCTTCTTTAAGCCGGTTGTGTAACGGTGACTCAGATGTTCACGGTGAAGGTCCCTCGCCGCCTCATGAACAGGCCAAAGGAGGAACTCACTAAACTAAACACCAAGAGACCACGGAATACAAAATAAATCACCAAAGCGTTGAGGACAGTGAATTGTTTTTTGTTTAAGTGGGTTTCTGTGAAGTATGAGCCGTTGAGCTCAGACACGCACTGGAAAAACAAACCGGATTCAACTTTGACCCACTTTCTATAGAAAGTGGGTCAGTCCCACATAACGGTATCCTCAGTCATAACATTTACAGTTACATTCACTAACACAGAGGGACTGAACTTTATCCCAATGCGAGGACAACTACGTGGGTAAGAGAAAGAGTTGCACCAATCGCCACATTTCCAGAAGAGAAAGGGAAGTTCTGACAAACACTATGACGCACAGTGTTTTTTTTGGGGGGGTTTTAAGACCTTCTGAAACCTATTGAAATACACATGAACTTAAGGTTTTACCAGAGTCAACAATATGTCATGAATATCCACAGGATTTTTAAATCAACCTCTTTAAACTACACAGCGCGGTGACTGGGAAGTCTTCTTTTAAGGAGGCAGCAGAAGCTGTGCTCTGATGTTTAAGCTGTTCTTTAGCGTGTTGTAGATGTAACATGCAAACTGTGCGTGGCTTCTTTAGATGGAGTCATGCTATGTGGTGCAGGACGACACTTAACACTTGGAGCACTAAATATAACTCAGGATTTAGCTCACATGGTGCCACCTTTCTTGTCAACATGCGACTGCCTGAAAGTACAAGAACGTGCTCCTATTACACCAGCGCGGACGGCTTAAAAGGAAATAAAAACACTATAAATATATTATGAAAGTGCATTTCACTAACAAAAAGAAGATTTTAGTGTGAAGATATATTTTTCCACTGTGCTTGATATTATAGTGCATGAGCCTTGTGAGTTAACATGCACCATGCACGATGGATAAAAAAAATAAAATAAATATAATCGAGGAATATTGATATTTAGTATTTCACCCGTACATTGATAAATTACCAAAATCAGATTACAGAACTTGAGAATGTTAATGCAACAAAGGACAAGACACATTATCCTGAATTAAGTCCTTAATATGGATCAAGATCCAAAAATGCTGGATACTAAAAAGTCCATAATGCATATTTAGCCCGACTGTCACTGATAAATGTTCACATCTTTTTCACACCGCTTGGGTTTTCTGTTTTAAATATGTAGTCACAAACCCAAATTGATATGATATGATGATGGGTTAGAAGGCTGCGCAATCTTTTAGTATAAGGGATCTTTTTAAGGGATTCAGCAAACGCAGTTTCTCAGACCTGTAGACGATGCCTTTGTTGTGCAGGAATATGAGGGCGGAGGTGATCTCTGCCGTGTAGAAACAAGCTCGGGGCTCCTCAAACTTCCTGGACTTCTGGATGTGGAACATGAGATCGCCACCGTTCACAAACTCCATCACAAAGAAGAGACGGTCCTGAAAAAGAAAGTGTTAGAAATGAGATGTGCACACTGGCCTCCCTGCTATTATCCAGTTCAAGAACCCATGACATTGGTAATGCCTTCAAAGATGATACATTTGTGCCTCTCATGAATTCCACATGTCGGCTTTAATGGATTCCTTTGCAACAAATTGATGTTAAAAGTCAATGGGGCAAAAGAAATACTGATCCAACCCATCAATCTTCCTCTCTCATTACAGGCTGAGGTCGATAAGTAATCTTAAAAATGAGAGCTTGGGGGGGAAATGAGCACCGGAGGTGATGCACAGATCTGCTTCCTGACATTCAGCCACTCCGTTTAACTGCTCTGTGGATGTGGGGAATGTTCAAATCCACACTTGAATCGGTTCTCGGTTGTTCCTCGCCATCGAGTCTTGTCGAGTTGTATAATCGGAAAAATATTAGAGACACTGACATTTGGGTGATAAATAGAACAAGTAACATCTTGTCTCAAAAAACTGGTTGACTGTTAAGTTGACTTTAGATTAAACTAGATAATTCTACTCGAGCATTAAAGTACCATTATGCACTTATGTCTTTTGCAAGACTTTCTCCAAACCGCTGTCAACTTATGAGCAGGACGTCTGGCAATGCGAGACAAACTTTAATTCACGAGTAAAACTTCTTATTTTGGCAATGTCATCACAAAATGTCACCACTTACGGCGAAGGTCGAGCGGGGATTTGACTGAGTCATTTCAGTGTGAGCTGCTCTATTTTGATCTCGGGTTGAAGTAGGACAGAGGCGATGCAAACAATGAGAGCAGATTAGGAGCGTCCTTCCTGCTGTGAGGAGGAGCGAGGCCTCCTCGAGCAACAGCAACGGGAAACTGCTGCTGCCTGCTGACCAAATGACGCATTACACGGCCGCGTCCTAATAACGCCGCCGCGTGCAGCGCGTCGTGTCCGACAGCTTTACGACAGCCCGGGTACAGTTTAGTGGATCTGATGATAGTGTGGGGAGTAATTCATGATATATGACTTATATGATATGTAAAAACATGGTACTGTAAATGGATAACATACAGTTTCATATATATATATATATATATATATAATAGAAGAAAAGTGCGATACAAACAACAACTGGACCATGAGGTATTTAAATTGGATTCAAATTAGATTCAAATTGCTTGTGTGCAAGTTAACCACAAACAAAGAACCTGAAAGAAAATTTAAAAAAATATTGTAACTGCAAAGTTGCATTTCTTAGCGAAGCAGAGCAGATGGTATTTGATCTGAGATGAGAACATTACCTCTGTTGATTTGAAAAAGGCTCAGATTGATTATTGTTAAACAAATGCCCCCGTACTGACCGGCGTCTGGAAGCAGCAGAACAGCTGTGTGAGGTAGGGGTGACAGCAAGCCAGCGACAGCACCCTCTTCTCGGTCATGGTGCACTCCACGTCATCGTCCTGCAGAATTATGTCCTTCTTCAACACCTTGACCGCAAAAACCTGATCTTTGATGTTTAGTCTCGCCAGCATCACCTGTAGATGCAGCATAGACAAGGATGGGTGAGCTTTTACCTCTGCCGGCACCCTGGTGGTTCATTTGGCTCTGCATCACTGAAGACATTCGCCATGACGTCATTCCCACCTTGCCAAAACTGCCCTTGCCAAGGACCTGAAGGAACGTGAAGTCCGAGATGCCCAGTCGAGGAGTCTGCTGCTGACTCTCCGTACTCTCCCTCCTCTCAGTGGGCGCTCTCATCTGACTCTGGGCCTGCCGCATCAAACACCGCTCATAAAACACTGTGTGAAGCCACCTTCAAGTAGAACGAACAGAGCGGACTCGGCCTTTTTACCACTGAATTGCGTTTAGAGAGTCCTCCAGCCTGCAAACCCATCTCTGACAGCTTACTGGCCAGCTCCACGCTGTTGACCCCACAGCTTGGAGCCACGTTGCCTTTGCAGCGGATGTGAACATTCATTTTACAGACTAAAAAGAGAGAGAGAGAAACACTCAATAATAGACAAGGTAGGACATTCGAGATTGGATTTTGAGTGTTGACCCCAGTCTTACTTTTACAATGCAGCCCCTGTTTGACAATTCCCCACAGCAGGGAGCCACAGTGGTCACAGAAGGTGGGGGACTTGAAGTTGTGGACGTTGAACATGTGAGGGATGTTGATGCTGAAGCCTGGGTTTATGGGCTGCGGAGAGAAGACATGTAGTGTAAACCAACAATGGCATGTTGTGTTGCAACATTGAAAAAAATGTGCTGCATGTTTCCATTTTCGTCAGAGTTATTTCTGGTCATAGCTTTTTGAATTTCCCAATGGAAAATAAACACGTGGTCATCAGCTAAACATAGTAAGACAGAGATGACCTAAGAAAAGCACTGAGGTATTATTAGAAATACACTGTAAGAGCTGCAACAAGCATGTGGAAAAGTAGCGTTCTAGCTCAGTGGCCATCTCAACAAAGAAACAGGAACCTGTGCATCACTGCAGGTGTTAGACTTTGTGTGTGTGTCTGTGTGCGTGTGTGTGTGTGTGTGTGGGAGGGGGAGGGGGGCTGTAGAAGATCTACTATTTTTTGCACATCCTGTAATACACACAAACTGCTTGAGGCGTAAAACAGCAACGCCGTACTTGTGTGCCTGAAACCCTCTGACACGCTGGTTATTCTGTTATTGACCCGGTGATCTGTGATCCACGCGTTGCAACAGAAAGAGCGGCGCTGCGCACACACGAGGAGGGTCGTGTCAAATCGGACGGCCGTAACTGTCGTTACCTGTTCTTTCGCCGGCTTCTTCATGCGTGGACACGTGGTGACGACGTGCTGGTGGCATCGCTTGTGAACCACGCAGGTGCACACTGGGGAAGACAACAGCTCGGTGTCAAGCGCACGTCTGGTGTATTTGAGCAACTGTGAGCAAAAGCACGACGTCTGCTCACCTTGGCACTGGTAACCCTGCTTTCCAAAAACCCCCCTAACAAAAAAAGACAGAGAAGGGCACACAATCAGACGCACTGATACGCGCACACGGTCACGTGATGGCCGCAGGGATGGAGCTCGACTTCCTCACCAGATGAACTCTTTGCAGTGGAAGCAGAAGGTGGGCTGCCGGAGGAAAGTGGACATGAACTTGTGTCCGTTCACCTGGTGGATCTTCCGTCTCAGGGCTCCTTGTCTCTTCCTTGTGAATTGCTTGAAGCTCTTCCTCTCTTTAACTATGGCATCGTCTGACGGACAGAAAGAGAGGTAATGTTTGTGCTGAAACAAATGGACCATTATTACATATTTGGATTTCTCTTCAGTGTCACGTGACAATGTGAATGCCAGCAAGTTAAAATGATATGAAAGCAGAAAACCATGTTTTTGTACTTTTGGTGCAAAGATCGTCATCGAGTCGGGCAAGTGAAAAAATTGTTCTGCTTGTATATTTTCATAGTCTGGTTTTCTAAAATATCTCGGCAGTTTTAAAAGGACCATTTTTCTCATCTGAGAAAACAGGCGACAACAACTTTTGTCAAGTGTTGTTGCAATGTAAATATATACATTTTTAACACGAGTGGATGTGTCAGGGCCTACACAGGACTACTTGAGATTTCACATTCCACCTGTTACCCAGGTGCAAAAGGGGCAACTTTTTTCCTCCAACTGCATCACAGATGGTAACAAAAAATTATTCTAGCGAAAACCTTTTTCTGTGACATTTCTTAGAGGGAACCATTTAGATCCAATCACCAGATGCAGTTTTTCCGATTGCCTTTCAGATCTTAAAAGGGGCTTAATTTGGAATGACATAACCCCTTGAAAATGTTTCAATGTTTAGGTTGTACCTTAATGCATTTGGCATGTCATTTGAAGGTCATTTAAGTATTATTGCTTCATGAGTTTAGAGCGGCAGTGATGATGGCAGCAGGAACATCACGCAGGGCAACGATCCACCAGCTAAACAGACTTCTGCTTGGAATTGAAATCACTTTCCCGCAGGTGTAACTTAAGACAGTCACAGCTACTTTGGTCTGAAAGCTAAATAAGTTCTGTGACTTCTGGGAAGGGAAACTTTCCTTAAATTAGCTTGACTTACCGGACACATAATAAAGCACTCGAGTCACACAAAAACACACACACCCACTGTCATAGCGTATGTAATAAGCAGTCACAGTCGGTTTCACTCTGGCTAAACAATGGCTCACCAGTGATCACTAGTCGGCGGCGCCCCACAGACGAAATAAATAAGACGGTGACAAACTGAGTTGTTACAAAAGGGTTGTGTGTGAAAAAGTGAGAGAACTTTCCTGCAGGGGGAGAAACACTGGGCTTCATTTCACCTGAAGCAGCAGCCTTACCATCAGTGAAGGATCCATTGAGTGTAATGTGAACGTACACCTTGCCCTCAGGCTCCAAGTCCATCTGCAGGCACAAACTCACAATTACATTTCTGCACACGCAAATAGCAAAGCAGAAGTCCACTACATAAGAACCATAAGAACATCCGAGACATGGCACACGGAATGCGTTTCAAATGATGAAACTAGGGTCCATCTGTGGTTCAGTTAGAATAATTGGATTAAAACAGGCCGGGTGGCGGCATGCGACATCTCTACCTAGCGGGAAGGAAGTGGCGTAGCTGCATATTTTTGGCATTCTTCAGGGTGCGCGTCATTTTGGAGGAATTCGGGCAACGCGTCGGCGAGACGAGCAAGCCGGTCTGGCAGGTTGGGCTCGTTGCAGAGGTTGTAGTGACTCGATGCTCAGCTGGGAGCGATGACAGACATCCGAGCTCACATAAAAAAAAAATAACCTACACGCAGAAAAAAGGTCTTCTTGGGGCTGAACAGCGACGGGCAGACGGAAAGGGGTTACTTCCTGCGGCGCCCACTGGAAACTTTACACCAAAATAAAAATCTGTTCTATTTATACACATACACCCCCGCTTGGAAAATAATTTCTGCCCACAAAACCGTGAATCATTATGTGTAAACTGAGGCCCATTTGATGCAAAACTTGTATGTCTCCCACTATTGGGTTTATGGTTACCTGCTCATATCCTGTCTCTTAATTTACTGTCTAGACAGCAAGTATGAATTGCGAAGACTGAAGATTTGTTCTGTGCGAGCTGTCTTGGATCTTTTCCCCTCTGCTTACGCGTTAAGCTCTAGGAAGGAGCTAAAGAGCTGCAATGCGTTCCTGAAAAGTCTCTCTCTGCCGGTAAAACAAAAGGATTTAAGGACAGTTCAAAAATAAAAGATCAAGGCAATCCTCAAGTATTATCTGTACATACAAAGAGTTATTGGCTGTTGTCAAAACCTCAAATTGGCTAGTGGTTTTTCCCCTGACTAGAGTTTATTTTAGCACAGAAAGAAGACTGAAGTTTGTCGCCCATCCCCTACATTCATTTTTGTCAACTTTTTAAATCTACATCCAGGAAGATGAGTATTGCGCTACGACCATAAATGGCCGTACTGTTTTAGCACATCTAAAATAGATTTAGGTGAGGCAGCATTATGTGGTCAATTAAAAGCAGAACACTAAACGCTGCTTGACAAAATAAAAGAGGATGGGGAATGTTCTAGTCGTGCAAGAAGTACACTTTGCTAGAGGGGCCATTTGTAACCAACTTTCCGTTTCAGTGCATCAAAGAGGGACTTGCTTCGAGGCTGACGCCACATGAACGCAAAACCCAATGATTGACAACACACTGTACTGTGAAATGAAATAGCTCTAAAGAAACAAGGCCAAGACGTAGTGTCAACGAGTGGGAGGCAGAGGAAACTTGCCCTGCGAGTCCAAATGTCATACGGTGGATGTCTCAAATGCATGATGCCAGTTCTGACATTAAGGGAAGTTAAAATAAGGAGACGAGTAACAAAAAGGTTTAAGTGCCTCAAACTGGACGGTGTGCACAGGAGGAGGGAGGGGGGAGGGGGGGGGCATCGAGTATTCTCAGTGAGCCCTCGAGCGGCGCTCAGGAGGTGGGAGCGCTGTGATAAACAGCGGCGTGGGCGTGTGGAGGCCTGTGCCTCGGCCTCTGCTGCCACACGTGTGAAACAAACCCTTCACAGTTCAGATGTGACCGATAAACAACTTCAAGCTCGCGCCTCAGAGTGAGAATGAGCATGAAATACTTCATCGAGTAACCAACGAGCCCGGCTCCGCTTTCACACCACTTCCCCTCAATGTTTTGGAGGGTCGTGGTGAAGATGTCTGCAAAAGGATGTCTCATATATATATATATATATGAGACATCTTTTTTTCAGTATTCTCTTTACTGCACACATTGCAGAAAATTGACATAGCAAATTATGTAAGAACAATTCACAAGTAAGATGAATAATAATGAAGTGAATAACTATTATTAATAATCCCCCCCCCCCCACCCTCAAAATAATATTCATATATAATTGATTTGGCTTTTCATCGTGATCGAACAAACATCAATACTAACCTTTGTCACATTACTATATGCATTTCTCATCATTTATACACACAGAAGCCGATATCATAACTATTGTGCATCCTGTTTGTACCAATTTGCTTATATTTGTACATGAGTTACTTTAAAAATAATCTCTTTTGTACTTGTTTTGTTGCCCCGTTTAATACGTTTCAAAGCGTCTCACAGCCTGAATGCTCTTAAGTGCACCTTACTTGCTGGTTTGTTGACGTGCTTGTTGAAGTTGGGTACTCAAAGTGTCTGGATGGTCAGTGAGGCCTGGCGGTGGTTATTTACATTTCCTAAATGAATTGTACTCATTTTAGGAATGCTACTAATTATTGTACATATTGACTTGTGTAGAAGCAGTTCTTTGATGCACAATGTTGTGCAAGCTTAGTTTTTGTCTGTACATTACAGTTACAGCAAGGTTCCCTTTGGCGCCTTTATTTGTTCACTTCTGGAATACAGAGTTCACAAGTGGTTCCAAACCAAAAAACACATGCTCAATAAAAAAAAAAGCTGTGTAGTCTGATGAGAACATGTCTGTAGGTGGGAGAAAATTCTACACGCCTCGAGAGTGTTAAAGGCGGTCGATACCGACCGAGGCTGCAACCGGCTCGGGTTACATTCGCCAGCACCTGCAGTGCCCTGGAGTCCTAGACGATGGAGATAAGCAAGAGGAGGGAAACTCCTCTTAAGAGCCAATGTTATGTTTGTGTTTGGAAGAGAATGACAGTATAACTTGTTTCTACTCAAGGCATTTAACCAGCACGTGGGTGAGGTCCATTTCTTTCGGTCTAGTGAGCAATAGAAATGGTGTTAAAAAAAAAAAAGTATCACAGGCGAAATGCTGTGCAGCCTCGGCTGTCAGGCGATGTGTGTCTCCACGGCGGTGTGACAGTCTTTAAGGGGAATTAGCAGCTCGCCTTAGCGGTGGGGTGTGTGTGGTTTCAGGCCATATTGCCCAATGACGGGGGGGAACTTTTTAGACCCCATGCGTTGCGTAGTGCCCGGACTGACACATGCCAATGTGAGTATGTGAGGGTGTTACACATCAGACAGAAAAACTGGCAATGTTTCACCTAGACGTCTAGTAAACATCGCCCTGGGAGAAATCCTGTTTGTTCTTTTGTTTCCTTAACTTTCCCTTAACTCATTTTTAGCGTGTATGAAAGCATCAGCAAACCTACAATATCCTTGTGTAGGAGAGAACCTGTGATGTTACATGCTTAGTTTTCAGACTGACCCTTGCAGCCCGACTACCGAGCTACATTTAAAAAATATTCAAGCTCTATGCAAGAAGGTAAATGGGGAAATACTATTTTGAGACAATAGTTCCCTGTACTAGAAATGACTCGCTCAAACGAAACATGGAAATACATCTAGATCTAGTTTAAGGCAGGTGGAAAGATTACTGAAGGAAAAGCAGCACTCTGGTGTAAATTTACGGTTAAAAGCTCTGCAAGCGGATTTAAATTAAAGTGCACGCATTAAAGCAAAATAAAAAGCTGTCCTGCATAATTATTATAAAAGAAGTCCATACAATAAATACATGGAGGTATAAAATGTTCTTAATGTGTGGGCATGACTGGGGGTGTGTTGATGGGTCATTGGGGACCACCACAGGTTAATCAATTGGGCAATGAAATAAATCTATTGTTTTTAAATGTTCACAGTCTTACTCACCCATCCATCGAACGTCTCTCCGGTGTTGGAGGTCTCCATGAGGCTCTCAAACGGAACGATGCAGTTGGCAACAAAGTCATCGTACCCGATCGGGGTGTCGTGGAAAACCGCCATCTCGATCTGCTTCCCGTCGGTCACGTTGAGGCAGAACTCCTCGTTGAACGTCGGCGTGTTGGTCTTCTGTTTGGTGAGGGTCTGTCCGATCTTCAGGTCGTCCACCTTCACCATGATGTAGGGGTCCATGGTCGCGGGCGCTTTGTTGAAGATGACGGAGTGGCGCAGGGAGAAGGTGGTGGGTTTGAGTCCCACCGCCTCGCCGATCCGGAGCTTCAGGTAACCGTTGAACCTCATTTTTTAATCACGATAGTTTAAAAAGAATTAAAAAGCGAATTCAATAATTCTACGTAACCATGCAGAAAAAAACCCAAAAACTTTACGCCTTCTTTACGGATCCAGAAACACGGATCCACGCATTCCTAGGATTAGATGTCCACCGCGACCCTGCGTGTACAGCGCTCATGTCACCCGGTAACGCGCCGTGAACCTGCTGCGTGAAGTTTCAGTGAGGAAGCCACAACGCGCGCACGGCCACGCGCGCACACACACATGCAGTGGAGGCGCAAGTTCCGCAGAAACTTGCCACGGAGCGCGCACACGCGCGCGCACAACCTGTCACGCCGTGGGTTCGCCACGTCACGTGGTTGGATTTGTAGTTCTGTCTCTGAGGGAGCCGTGTTCGGAACTACGCTGACCGCCGTGCGTCACTGCGCGCGCGCTGCCGCGTGGGATCGAGTGCGCGGCGCCTCGCCGCGGCTGTTGCGGTAAACTGCATGACTTCTTGGCCTGGGCCTCTTTGAACAGCAGCACCAACATGGTGTCCCGTGTTTTATGGAATGCCGTGGATTTGTTCCGACGTCATCAATCAATCACGTGAGCTTTTCCTTTTGTCACGTGTTGAGTGGACGCGTCGCTTTCTGGCCTCAAAAACAAGTGTCTTGTACTGCGGAAACGTAATGGACACTTTTCCTTTTTTTTTCTCTCCCCCTAACATTTAATTGACCAAACGATTTATGGGATCATTGGAAAATTCTAGTTGTTAGTGGAAAATAAACCCCTGAAGTCAAGTTGAATAATGACTATTTGAAACTACTAAATTCTCTTTTGTTCTTTACTTCCCAACGCTGCCCCTTTCTCTTCCCCTCTTTAAATGCCATTCTCCCTGTGTGTGCCCCTCTCTCTCTCTCCTGCTCTATCCATAAATGCCATGATCAAAGTCCCACTTTATTGGTGTTAGACTTGACCTCTCACCCCACTCTGCCAAATGTCAGCGCTCCACATCTCTGTGCTCCAGCTGTTATAAATAAAGAGCCGGGGTCCCAGATCTTACACATCCCTGGGATACAGACTGTCTTGTAAACAGCGTCTCAGACGTGACCTTACCGAGCGGTGACGGTCGTGGTGATAAAGCAGGCGGATGTAGAGGATCGCCTCGCTCTCACCATCAACAGCAAAGGTTTGAAATCTTCTCCTGAACCTGATGGTTACAGTGAAACATTCGCACCTGAAATTTGTGCCATCGGTCCCGTCGACCAACAATAGTAACGCACTTTAATGTTCAGTCAACTGTTAGCAACCCGCTTCATTGGAGTCAAGGTGGTTCCATTATATTTGGCTCCATTGCAGTTTATTACGATACTTTATAATTTGTATCATCATCCAGCAGAGGGCAGAACATGACTGCTAAATATCACTCCCCCCTCTTCTTTTCCTCCCTGTTTGCCTCTCTCCTATGGGGCAGCGACTTCAGAAAGCCCTGGAGCCAGCGCTGGCGTTTTTACGGCCCGGGATGATTTGTTTCGTTTCTTTGTTCTACCTGCTGCCCACCCCCCCCCCCCCCTCTCCATCCTCTGGCCGTCCCCTCTGCATCTCTTCCCCCTCATTCCAATCCAACTTTCTCTCCGCAAGCGGTTGGCCTGGCCAAATCTTGAATTATGCACCCATGGGAGAAGTCTGCGACTTGACATGAGTCTAGACACCACAAGCTCAGGCTTGTGGGCTGCATGTGTACATGCACACACACACACACACACACACACACACACACACACACGGCCACGTTTATGCTGTTACAACACACAGGCACGAATCCTTCTGGTGTAATCTAAAAGATTTTAATGCACACAAGCACGCGGCCAACTACCAAACGTTTAGCCACCTGTAGTTTCCACATCTACGTAACCCGGGACGGCTCGATCCTCTGGCTCCCTGCCCAGGTTCGCCCTGGAGCGGCAGGTAATGAACCGCAGCATCGGCGCCCAGCAGGGCAGCCGAGAAGAGGAGCGTACACAGCCCAGGTATGGCGAAGGCCATTTCCCACCCCTGTTGACCCCGGTGAGAGAAATCTCCCCGACCACGCTTCTCAAACTACAGCTACATGCAGCAGTCACTTTTGCCGCAGCAGAGCTAACCCCCTTCCTACAGTCACAAGACCCCAGGCTCGCCTCAGGTAAGGCTATATAAAACCTACATGTCACACACACACACACACACACACACACACACACACACACACACACACACACACACATCCCTGGGGCTTTCCTGCATGGAAGCAGAGGCACTCCATAAATCACACCTGTAAAAGCTGATTTGGTACTGAATGTGCTATATTCACAAGTGGTGTTTACTACCAAGGCTCTAACACAGGAAAGCATGACTTAAGATGGTAAAATTGTACAGAATGGAAACCGTGTTGCAGTGAGAAGGCAAATGAAGTTGGTTCACCCTGATCATCCTCATTCAAACAAGCATTTCAGAATTATTTTTAGTCCATGTGGAGGACTAAACTAAGAAATGGAGGGAGGTGGAGGAGGGGGTTACACAAGAGGGGATTACGAGGTGAGTGTATTGGATGTCACAGATACTCTTTAGTTAACACTTGATTAGTTCAAAAGAAATCATGTTCAATGAAGAGGATGTGCTTCTTTTGTTTTGCAAGACGAGGGAGAAAAGACGAGGAAAGAATGAAATAAAGAGCGGCGCTGTGAAAGCGGAGCTGGGTTGGACAGTGGAGCAGAGAGTAGAGCCTGGTGGTGAGGAGGGGTGAGGGGAATATGGTGGAGGGGGGGGGGGGGTTGTTCTGTCACAGCCCCTCCAGGGTAATTGGCTCCAGATGTGAGGCAGCGTGGCCCCTGCGCCAGCAAGGCGTCAGGGCTGCATTAAGAGCTCAGCCCAGGGCTGATGGGATCGCAGAGAGACAAGCTCACCCCTACTACCCCCCCCCACCCCAAAAAAGCACAGACTGAACCCCATGCTGTGCTGCTGACCACTGGGCCTCCATCAGTGCCCTTCCCACCTCTCAACCCCTGCTCATCATCTGCCAAAATAACTAAGCACTGCAATACTTCTGAAATTGTTGTAAAATCCCCCTTGTTTACTTACCAAAGACTTATTTCCCCCTTCGACAGCTCACATTCTCTCTCCGAGGCCCATCACGTCCCAGTGACTACGGTCATTTTGAAGTCTTATTTTATGCCATTGTGGTGCTGCAATTACGTTGACCCCCTGTGTCGGGCGAGTCCTCCCTTGAACACCACGTTCAGGTTGCTCCAATTCGAGAGAGAATTGGTCAGGCGCAGTTTTCAGTTTTTGTGTTGCACCCTGTGGTGCTCTGACACCCACGAGAGAAGTCAGGAACATGACTTAGAAGTTGTAACAGTCTATTCTTCTCTCTCCTTTTATGAATTACACAAAAAGCTTGAAGAAATTGATGTGAAGAACACCGAATCCCGCTGTGGGAATTGCATCTGCTGTCTCAGGGCGAGGAATGCTCTCGCTGTGACCCAAAAAGCATGTTTACTGATCGAGTGTGGAAATCGATTAAAGGCAGAAAATCAGCGTAAAGTGATGGTGGACGGAGTGAACGGAGAAAATAGACGGGTAGATAAATAAATGAGATGGAGAGCCCTTCTTCGGTGATGACACCCGCATATCGATGGCATTTTCTGAAGTGCAGTCCGCCACCGTGACTAACAAGGGAAACCACTCATCATGCCAACCAGCATTAGGAGGCTCGTGTGAAAAGACCCCTGAACCACCTTTCAGCCAGGAATGCCTGTTGGACCAGATTATGTGGGTAAACAGAAAGCAGATGTGCGTGTTCTCAGCTTTGCTGCAGTGTCTGACTATGGAGGCACGTTGTTCAGATGTTGTACAAAGATAAACAGGAAGAGGAATTCTTTTTTTTCTCTTTATCAAAAGGTCAGTTACACATTAGTAATATTATTGCATATCTATTTGTACACAGCATTCTCCATTTCCTGAATAAATTGACAAAGTGGATGGCTGCCTCCAGTTCGCTAATCTAATCCACGAAGGCCGTGTTATCAAACAATAAGATGTCAAACTGTGTAAAAGGTCAAAGTAGTGACATTGGGATCCGACCCGGTGTTTTCTCACAAATCTTGATTTTCCAACAACAGAAAATCATTTTCAAAGAACACAGACCCGTCGTCTTAAAAACAATAGGAGAGGGGAGGCTGCCGACAGGGGATTCATTTCAGCCCACCACCATTCCTCCGCCTCATTCCATCCTCTAACCCTGGGAGATGGTGTTGTCATACTGCTGGACATGGGCCCGGGGTGTGAGTGAGTTTAACTAAACAAAAACACTCCCTCCCCGGGATGAGGGCTCATGCCCCAGTCAGACCTCCATAAAAACAGCCCTGGTTTCTGTTAACATGCACGTTTCCAACACGTGATAAAGTCGAGAGAAACCGTGAACATCTGGTTATCTCTTCCTAGTTAGGCTTTAAACTAAGCGGTGAATGTGAGATGAGGGGGAACTGGAATGCTGTAACGCAGTCCAACACTAGGTGGTAATCCTGCTTTGCGAATGGGTTTAGCTCAGCGGTTACCATGGGAACCCATGAACATGAGTCAATAGGTCGCTTAACTTTCTACGTGAATATGCTACATTGGTGAGAAAATAAACTTCTAATTTACTACTTGAGGGTTGTATTCTAGTTTTACCCTGGCTACGTCTTTATTAACATTTCACATAAAAACTTCAGCATGAAGTTCAAAATCAATGCGATTTTAAACATAAAACCAGTGTTTTTTTTTAAACTTTCTCAGTTAAGAGTTCTATAATATTCTACATTGATGCACAACAGAGTCTTTTTTGCACTGTTGTATTGGTACCAACTACCAAAGAGTGTCCGTCTGAGTGGGCGATGGAGGGATTAGGACATTTCCTGGACAGGGGAACTTCTTTAAAGGGGGCGTGAAGCGCAGGCAGCAACTGCTTTCTGCGATCCCTCTTGGCCTAATCCCTCAGATTAAAAGCAGCAGTGAGATGGCTGCGTGTTCCAGAGGCAGCATGAAGACAACATAAACAGCATCGTGATTAGAAACGTACCGAGCATGTGGCTCTCATTAGCTACAGGCTGAAGCCGCAGCACTGCGCTGGAGGAGCGAGTCCCAGTGTCAATACTGGGCCTGTCAATCAAACGCACGGCCGTGAACGTCACATGTTACACTGATGAGCTTTTCACAACACAATAAAAAAACAGGTTGGTGGTTAAGTGAGAAACTTAAACCATTACACTTGTTAAATATCATTCATTTAATCATCAAGACGTAAATAATGTAAGTAGATCATGAAGGTAAATGCATTAAATGGCACAAAACAAGCTTGATCTAAAAATATACATTCAAACAAGTGATACAAATAAAAACAGGAGTGAACATTTGTGATTGTGTATATAAAGCAAAGTGAATTTAAGAAAGAGGTAAACCTGAAAACTTCATGGTTTGGACTTGATCAACTGCATCTTTTAATACTACAGATTGGTGTGTAAATCCATCACACAGCACCACACAAAGAACAAGTACTTAACATGAATAATATGTTCACACAACTTACTTGGCACATTCTTGTATTGATCTGACACTAAACTTCACCTATATTTTGTTCGCAAAAAATCTGACTATACTTGGGTATAATTCAAAAGTCAGTGTGTAAACAATGTGAAAAAGTACAGCAAGAGAAGTTATTGTAAATTTGGTCTATGTTTGTAAACTAGGAAGTAGAGAAACAAACAAATAACGTTTGCTTGATTTGATGCGGTCGTTCCCTTTTTGTATCCATTTCTTTGGCACGTTTCCCTCTGGCAGGCGGAGCAGACGGGGTCATGAGCTCTGTACCCATGTGATGACAATGAAGGATAAGCTGATGATTCCCATTAGGAAACCAAAGACCACCAGAAGTATAGACTGGAGAAACAAATAAAAGACACAGCGAGCATCATGAACATGTATAAATGTAACTAGGGGCTGCAATCTCAAACTGTTCTGAGGCATTTGCATTTAACATTATCTCATATACCAATAAAGACCTATAGATTAGATCAATAGATTATATCAGTGTTTAGTTACCCCAATGGAGTCAATGGATGTGAGGGGTCCTTCGTTGAGCTTGAGGTAGAAAACGCCGGGGAAAACAAATAACAGGCAGGCTGATGTTGTCGCTCCTAAAAAAAGGTAAAGAAACAGGAAAGCCACTTGAGTTGCACAGATAATATGGTCCATTTCAGACCGTATCAACTGTTTGAGCAAGGCTGCACCATTAATTATGTATAGGCATCATTTTAGCCAGCACGATCAATAACTGACGTATTTCACTGATGCTGCACTTGAAAACAGTTTAGAATATTTTAAGGCCACAGTTAAGCAAAGTGATAGGTCGCCACTGTCTGATGTGTGTCTTTAAATGAAATAAAAATATGACATATTAAAATGTATAACAACCAGAATATAGCAAAAGCATCACATTTCATTTCTTGTAATTCAAAAACAACACATACCCACGACTCCAAACACGTTTCTGATATCAGGGACGAAGATGGCCATCGAAAGAACGACACCCAGGATGATTACAGTTGCAAAGACGTGGATCAGCACGGAAAAGGGACGTCCTCCAAACAGCAGCAAGATGGCAGCCTTACGGGCCTGCAGCGTACAAACAAGCAACGCTGAATCTAACAAAACATACTCAAATAAGATCTGCCGTGTTCATGGTGCGCAACAAATGTTGGAGGGAAGAGGAAAGAAATGGAGGGGTGTTTGGGCTGGAAGGAACTTGTTGGTTGTTACGGTGTTATTTTATAAACACAATTCTTTCCGATTTGTCCATTTTTTCTAATTTGAAAACAGGAAGTGTGAAAAGCTGCGGATCTTCATTTATAGGCAAATAGCAAATCATGGAGTAAACAAACCAAAAGGAGGGATGAGGAGCATTCCGCCGTCCGTGTACTCACAGGGAACTGAATGAGGGGAACAGTCAGCGTCACAGCGAGCAGGACGGCGAGCCGAACCGTGATCACCATGACGTCCCGGGGCAAATACACATCGTAGCTGAGCAGCAGCTCAGAGTCCACGTGAGCTGGGAGCAGGAGACGCGGACGGCGTGAGGGCGCAACGTGAACGGTGACGTGGCTTGAAAAAAGCAGCGACCGGAAGTGGTCGCAGGAAAGTGCGCCGCTACGGGCTTACCGTAGAAGGTCAGGTAGCCGAACAGCGCAGAGATCAGGTAAAGCACGAAGCTGAGGCCGATGCTGACATTGGTAACGTTCTGCATCCTGGCCTTAGTGGGCCTGAAGCACACAAATCACTGAACGTTACACTATACTGTTAACGGCAGCAGAACCAATGACTCAAATGACTTGTAAAGGTAAATGCTGACTGTTTGAGTTCGCAGTAGATTGGCAGGATGGCCGTGTGGCACAGGAAGGAGAAGGCCATGGTGGGGATGGCGTAGGCGCTCTGCAACACGGTACGGTTTGTTTAGTGCTAAGTGCCGCCTGGGCTGCAGAGGGTGAATATTCAAATTGCATTTCTTAAGTGGATTCAAAAATTAAGTATATTACTAAATACTGTGCAAATGCGACTTTTTAGGATCTTCTTGCAAAACATTGTGAAGTAGTGTTAAAACATCTGGACCAAACATCTGCTTTGTGTAATCCGGCATTTACGGGCCTTTACATGTAACATGCATTTAATGCAGCAGAGACTAAATCAGGGCAGGCTACCTGCTAAGAGGCTGGTTTCACACACGCACCTTACTGGAGATGACAAAGAGTTTGGGTGTGCATTCTGAGTCGGAGGCATTTGATATCTGGAGAAGCGGAGAGAAGAGGAAGCGTGTTATTTCTGAGACGGGGGCGCTGCTGCGGATGGGAAAACATGAAGCCGACACCCATTGCCGGGCCTCGAGAGCTGAAAGGGAAATAATCAGCTAAGTAAATGCCAGGTCTGCGGCTATACTATGGGCAGTATAATTCTAAAAGGCCAGAGGTCATTTCCAGACTGATGCAAGGTCACCTGGACTTCCTTCCCCTCAGGACCGGCGTCATTCACCAGCACACAGCTCTCTGCAGCTTCCTCTGGTCTTCATCAGCAGACATAATCAATAAACAGTCTCCCGGGTCTTTCTAGCCCGGGTCCAGACTAGAGAAGAAGGAAACAAAGGGGGGGGTGTTACCTGAAAGGCACCTGAAGGCGTAGTCACATTGTAAGGCAGTGGGCAAGGGATGGACCATTTCTTGATCACGACCTGGAGACGAGACGAGACGTAAACAACAGAAGGGCCGAGATAACATTTCGGAGGGTTTTTGCTGAAACTCACCACGATCGCAAAGTACAGCATGAAGAAAAAGGAAAAGCTGCTCGTGAAGCTCAGGAAGCCTGTCAGGGCGAGAGAGAAAGATGCGGTGAGAAACAACCTTTCAAAGCTAGTCACGGCGGCCAATCTCCGTACTTACTTATTTTATGGCACAATGACAGAGGAAGCACAACACACAGTGTGACGAGGATCAGGAGGAGCCTGCCGTCTTCATACCAGTGATATCTGGAAAACAAGACAGCAGGAATGATCATCTCGCTGCTCCTGCATTGTCTGGAAATTTGTCTTTATTTTGTGCTCAAAACACACAACGACAGATTCGTCGTGTGGTTTGAATTAAGGGTTTTAGTCCTTATAAACAATAACAATTTTCTAATTGACATGCAACCGTCGTGATGAGGCCACATTTCACTTTGCCCCCTTCTTTTGGGGAATAACATTTTCCTTTGCTGAGGGGTAGCATTGGCAGTTTATTCAGGATCGGGGAGCCAGAGGAGGAGGAGGAGGAGGTGGTGTTGGTGGTGGAGGGGGTGTAGGAGGTGACGCATGTGAAAGGCATGCCGGCTCCTCTGGGGTTGGGGTCGGGCGGGGAAGGGTGCTGCCGCATGTTGGACCGCAGCGTGGGCTTGTGAGGGACCGGCTCCACCGCTCTTTATGGGGCTCCCACAGTCAGCAGCACCTGCTCGGACCACATCAACACCCACTGACCCCCGTTTGGCAGTTTCACAGCTGTGGCGTCACCGTAGGCGCTGATGGATTCGTCTCTGTGTCTACTCCGTTTTGGCGCTGTAACTGGATGTCGGCGAGACCTTTGCTCTGACCCGGACTCTCTCTTGTCCAATCACTTCTACGCCAACCTAAGTTTAGCTGAAGCACTCAACCGCAGCTCAGCTAACCCCCCCTCTCCTTGCTTTTTACAGAATGTTATGCACACACAGGGATGTATAAAAAAAAATCTCCTCCTCCTCCACAAGGATCCGTTCTCAAGAGACTCCCGGCTTACTGTGAGAGGCACAGGATACCTTAGAAGACCCGTGAAATGTGGAACATTTCACGCTCAGATGACAAACAGGATGCCTGTCAGTTAAGTCAATGAGTCAATCTCCGCCAAGTGTTAAAAGATCAGCAGAAATGGGACCAATGCAGAACAAACTCAGGTCCAGTTGTCCTCGTCTTTGGCCTTGTTACTGCGCTGAAACGAAACATGCTGCTGGATAACAGACACAAAACCCATTAGCGAAGACAAAAGATTTCAAGATTGAGCACAACTGTTTTCACTCACGGCAAATGACAAATGACCCAGAAAAACAAAAATGCCGTTTAATGTAAAACAACTTGTTCATTTAGGCCTTGATGGGATTGAGTATGTGTCGGCTAAAATCCCAAAGCCACTCATTAACAGAAATGCTTTGTTTCCCTCAGCGGTAAGCTGTAATTAGAATGGCAAAACTGATATCCCCTTGTATCAGTCTGATTCCGGGGAACATGTGCGAGAGATTTGGGGGTGAAAGCAGAGCAGTAATACAAAGCAGCTGTGTGTGGAAGATTCAGATGTTGAGGGATTGGGCTGAGAGCAGCAACAATAGACTTCAACCGGAGCGGCCAATAACACAGTGACAGAAGGTACATTCTGGGCCTGGGACTGCAAGCTCGTCCACGTGGGCCAATGAAGAACCCGGGCTGCTCGTGAATGGTGATGTATAGCTCTCCGTAATAAATACATTTCCTCTGGATGTGCTCCAGTCCAGACAGCGCCGAGCGCGAGTTTCCCCTCCAGTCATTAGCGGGCAAAGTATTAGCCGTTTACTGTGGTTTGGGGAGGGATCTCCTTCTACCGCGTCGCTCATATATTTCTCGTACCACGATTCGTTTCAGTTTTAATAACTTCGGGCTGCTGAAATGCCAAATTTGACTTATTCCAAGGAAGAAAAAGGTATAATCTACAACATCCTGGGAACAGGAATGACGCAGTCGTTATCTCGGTGTGGCTAATGTAAAAAAAATGGCTTGGTTTTACCCGCAGCTGTGACAGATTTGAGCAGAGGTGAGCTTACAGTGCTGCATGTACCCACCCTGTATTTCCTGGCGTCACCAGGGTGTAAATGGCTGCAGGAAGCTCTGACTTCAGGATGAACAAATAGGAGGACATGGCTGAGAGAAGAGAGGGAAAAAGGACATCAGAACATCTTTTTTTATTTTCTTAAACGCACGCAATCATACCTATCAACTGAATCATAAACACAGCAGACGACTAAACTTAAACTGCTGTGTGATGGTTGTGTTTTTTTCCAGGTGGCAGGAGGAACCGGGGCTCTGAGTTAATGCAGATGGGTGGGGCGAGCAGCTCAGAGGAGGGATCACCAGTAAAGCCCTCAGTGCAGACATTATGCAGATCACCCAACTGCTGGAGACTGGGAGTAGCAGCCAGGATGGAGAAGTGCGATGGGGAGGGGAGGGGGAGGGGGGGAGGTGGAGGAAGGAATGCTAACAATAATGATCTCTGACGCTAATCCAGGTATTTCTCCCACTGCTCCGCCTCACTCGGAAACAGGATATTATCAACCTCCGACGGACTCCAGTATCCTTTAAACGGACAGCCAATCAGAGGGGGGGGGATCGGGGTCACTTCCTGAGGGTCTTAACAGCCTAAAATCACCGAGAGGGAAATGGGAGAGGGGAGATGGAGACTGCACACGGTGGAGAGGACAGTTCTGACTGACACAGGATTCGGATGCAGTGTGTGGTCGGTCATAAAGGAAGATAAGGCGAAGGGATTTAGATTTGGGAAGCCGGGCAGAACCAGAGTTAGCTGGGACCTCAATGCCCCCGAGGCAGGTCTCGCACTCGCCGTTAAATAAGCCTAGCCCATAATCCCTCAGATCCTGTATTTGTTTATGAAAGAAAATTCATCCAGTAAACCCTCCAGCCCACACAGAAACAAGGACACGCACTCTGTGGATGACTGAGGCCATTTATGAGCTCTAAAATCTGTCAAGAGCTAAGCAAGCGGGCGCTTTAGTATTTTTAGCCAAAAAGTGTAAAGCAACCACAAAAACTAAGAAAGATATTTTCAACCACACTGCACATGAAGTCACACTGACAGGGATCACACAACAGGCACGATGCAATGGTTTAATTCCAGGCAGTCGGTTGGTAAGCACAAAAACACTTTGATGTGTATTCCTGGTGGGCTAATACTTACATTTCTAGACCAAAAGCACCCTTCAGTGAAGGAAAAGTGTACGCCGAAAACACTTTTATTACAACTGGCTGTGTGTGGGACGCAAACAGTGGGTGAGTGTGTTCAACATAAGACAGAGCACTTTCATTAAGCGTGAGGGGACGGGCAGGCTGCGAGAGCCCTGGGCTGGTCAGTAATTAAGGTCAATTGGCCCATCAGCCTTTGACAGTACAAATGAATGTTTACCCAGAGTGAGGCTAATTGCAGTCTTATAAAAAGGGGCCCTGGGTGTAGACAGATGCATGCGGCCGGGCTCACACTCTTAACACATACTGCCCCATGCTGGGAAAACCACAAACATACCAGAGGGCACGGCCACAATCCACTCAGCCCTGCGGCTAATGAATGCAGAGGAGCGATCACCTTAGCTCTCCACTGTCTGAGAAGGCCGAGGGTCGGGCGGGAGGGAGGGGGGAGAAATAAAGGGAGAGGTCCCATTAGGCTACTCAACACTGGGTGGGTTTACCGTCAGTGATCAATTAGACGAGAAGTCCGATTTCAGGCCCAGGGGGGGGGGGCTAAGAGGACAGCGGCTACAGAGTCAAAGGTTATCGGGGAATGCGGATAAAAGCCTCAGAGGAAGGATGTCGCAAACCTCAGCAGAGGGGCTGTCGACCACCAGTAGGAGGCACTATCTACCTCCAAAATGAAGTGGCCGTAGTCTAACCCTGCAGTGCTGCTAAAACCCGCCTCTATGTTGTAAAAAAAAAAAAGAGACACAAACACAAAACCAGTTTATGTTCAGCATGTCAAGAGAATTGTATGGAACTGTCCAGTGAAAAGCGAGCGGACTTACCGCCAATATTCTGCATGATAATGGAAATTCCAACCAGAACCTAAAAGGAATTTTGAAAGGAAGTTAGTTTGAACGTGACTGTTCGCGTTTTTTTTGATGGGGCAAAATCAAAAAAACAACACTTACCTTTCCTGGTTTTTTCAAGGCTTTCTCTCCAAGGTCTTCATATGAATTTATTCCTACGAGAGTCAGATTTGAAACAAACATTGCATATACACATAGCACTACACTCCTATTACATTGATCAGACTGAAATTTGACCGTTTAACACAAAGGGGGGAAAATTGCTGCAGGAGAACTGGGGACATTGTCTTGTTTGGTCCAGTCATTCTTATTCCTGATTAAAACCTGGTGTCTACTTTACCCACAATGCAACTCTACTGCTGAAAGTGATGTGTAGATTTGGGTGTGTTACACTCGTAGTGGCTAATGTAGTCTTGAGGGAATATCCTCGTCACAAGTCAGGATATCGTCTCAAGTATTTGGATGATGATTGACAGACGAAAAACCAGTGTTACCTCTTTTTTTATCTCATCTTACACACCAACTGACGCAGTTAAAACTAGGAATTGAGTAAAGTCAGCAAAAAGATAGCAACACATAAGATAGCTCCCTTGAGTAGTGATTTAATCACGAGTGGAGGGGCACAGCCCCCCCCCCCTTCCTGGATAAACACACAGGAAGTGATTATCTTAAGTTGTTAGTCTCTCACCTGTTTGCTCACATAGCTTCAGAAGGAGATGTATAGAGTAGGCTGACAAACTGGACACCAGTAGCAACAGGATGCTGCATAGGAAAGGTAAATGGTAGAAATGAGGGTTTATGTTTGATATATTTAAATATCATCATCAGATATTCTAAACAGCATTGTGGTGAAAGACATAATGAGAGCATTCTTACCAAAACCCCAATACTCCAGTGTTAGCCATAGCATAAGCTAGCCCCAATATGCCGCTGCCCATGATGGCATTCATCAGGTTAAACACAGAGGAGATGAAGGAGGCTCCTTCGGTTGTAGGTGACTGCACATTCTACATGACACAATTTGGATGAATGATGAAGCGGTAAAACAATGAGGGCAAAGACAAAGCAGCAGAAGAAATCTGATTATTTAACAGAACAGCTGGCCCGCCCTGATGATGGATGTCATGAAACAACATTGCAGTGGCATGTAGGATCAGGGAATGGAAATGGGGATGGATGGGGTGGGATTTGAGCAGCTAGCTGTGGGACAGCTGCCTGAGCTCAGGATAAGGGGAGCTGCCCATACTGCTTGACCTTTTTAATAGGGGATATCCTGGAGAGAACGAGTGGCAACTCTGGTGTCGGTGTCACAACAAGCTTGGATTGACCTGAAGGCCGCTGAATCAGATCCACCCTGGGTTGTAGTGGTAAAAGACGGAAGTAAACTATGGCAACAGATGGACAAGTGAACTGGTTTTCTTGTTAATTTATAATATGACATTGACATTGTAGTGTTTGTCTTACGGATGGATTCACAACTAGCTCACTGCTGTTCAATTTCACCGTGGGGTTGAATAGAATCCTAGCACGCACAGTCATAGTACACTTATGATAACATGACAGTGTGTAATCAAATGAAGTGCCAGGTTAATTTCTACTGGCACCAGTTGTTTTGAGTGGGGCCTTCTGGAGTCACGACGAGAGTAAATAAATGACGCTGATGTCATCGGTGTAGCATTCACCCACATCTGATTACTTACTAACATGAACCCTGCAAAAACTCTACAAGGATCCACACGTATCCACTGATGCCTTTCTTCGGTATGTGTAATACTAAGGTTAGTTGCATATGTAGTTTCTGTGCCTAAAAGAGTTTAATGTCGCTTTGATAATCTGAAGCATTTTCTCAACATCTGAGAGACAGCCTATGTCTTCTATAGTTAAAATAATTGTTTCAACTTAAAACAAAAAGTCTCTTACTCCTCAAGGTATACAACTATTTTATGGGCTGTGAGTTTATGATCATAATGGGCAAACTGGCTGACTTAAGTCTGTAAAATCGTTGGACTTCGCCATTAAAAGTAAAACTGGCTTTTTTAAAGAAATGAATAGAAACCGAGATGAAATCCTCAGGACGATACGCATATAAATACCATAGGGGAATGTGTGTGTTTGGGTGGACTTCCTTCCCCTCTTAAGTGCTGACCGAGACAGAGAGCAAGAGAGGAAAACGCACGTGATGTCTGTCATACACAACATTTAGACAAGTCTACCCGTGCATGGAAAAACAATAAGCTTTAGTGCGTTTTTTTGTTCTCAGAAAATCCCTTATTTAGACCGAAGCCCTGCTCCTTACATGTAAAAGACGTGTCTTAGTTTGAATACTTACATTTCTTAGTAAAGGTGTGCGTTCGTCTCTTTTGAAGCGCGGGTTGAAGTCTGGGTATCGCGATGAATTCAGAAAAGTACCACTATACATACCAGCCATTTTCTCTCTAGAAAGCTCAGAACACACAGTAAGCGAAAAGAGTAGCGAGTGATGATACCATCTTCCCTTAAATCACCTTTAAACCTCCCATCTTATCAGATCAGTCAGCTGCTGACTGTTGTTGTTCATGACAACTTTTTTTTCAGTCGCATTTCTTACGTCACAAATGAGACGACCACTCAGGAGGCGAGTTTTCACTCGTTTGACCAATCACGAGGCGGCTCTTGTCGCGCACCGATGACGCCATTCCAGCATGTATGCGAGTCAAGGATGTTGAGGTAAGCTCCGAATGTGGATTTTCTCGAAAATAATATCAGAATTACCGTTGATTTAACAAAGAGTTGCTTCGTTTTTTTTAAATACAACACCCGGTTCATATGAACGATATTTTATTTTTTACTTTTCCTGCTTCACAGCCGCAATGCTTTTCTCATTTCAGGCTCCTCTCCAGAGTCTGTTCGTCTTTAGCAATTGAAGGAAACCTAAAAGCAGCCGCCGCGCACCGGAGCATCTGTTCTGCAGCCTCACTGCCAGTCTCCGTCTGCTCGGCTTTAGCTGTTAAACCCATAATGGAGGCTAAACTTTACCGGCCTCCCCCAGAGGTCCGAGGTATGACCTCTTTGGACAAAGAGGCCTTCACACAGACTATTTCAGTCCCAGCCCTGCGGGTGCCAACTGGGGTCTTAAACAAGGTAGTAAAGAGCCTGAGAAAGGCGACCATCCAGCGCCCAGGGGTGCCCCGAGTGGTGCAAGATAAAGAGGAAAGTAGTGACTTTCGTTTAGTCCTTCTGGACCCCCACAGAGTTTCCTCTCTAAGCTCCTTCAGTGAAGCCGAGGCCGAGGCTCTGAGGTCCTTCAGTGTCGCTGAAGAGCTGCAGTACTATGAGCTTCGACTCACCTATCACAACCTGAAGAGTGACGAGGTGCTGGAGGCTGTGCTCCCTCAGGGTCAGGACGTGACCTCTGGGTTCAGCCGGGTGGGACACATCGCACACATGAACCTAAGGGACCACCAGCTGCCGTACAAGAACCTCATCGGTGAGAAGCAGATATTACAAGTCAACGATTTCAGCACAAATTACGACAAGTTGACATGTTTAAGGAAAACCAATGATAAGGTGTCTTTTGGCTCCTTGTCATTGAGTGTAGAAGTCTCTGGAAGTTTACTATTGGACCTTCAAGAAACGATTGTCTCAATTTGGTTTTGAGGACAGAGCTGTGCTGACACTGCTCGATATATAGTGTTGAGATGTTACTGTGAAGTGAAGAAAATAGCCTGCAATACACATCCTTACAATGATCAAACCCCTGCTACTGAATTGAAGCCCCTGTATTTTATCTACTCCTGTATTATGTAAGGTTAATACAAGGTTAAGGTTCATAAGTACTACTAGTTCTACTAGTTTTTTCGACCTCAAAATGATATCTTTATAAAATACCTTTCATACCACAAGTTCAGGACGTTAATTCTTATGCACACACTTCAGTGCCTGAATGTGTTGCTTTATTGAGACCCGTCAACTGTGACTTAGTGTCACGTGAGACATTTTTTAAGATTAACAAACATTGTTTTTGTTTCAGAAAACCTTTTGCACTTTTCTTATTGATAACTCACTTAAAAGGTACCATGGTTTACAAATAAAGTTTGGTGGTCATATTTATTGCTAACTTGTGGCTACTTTTGTTGTAGGTCAAGTCATCATGGACAAAAACCCCGGTGTTACCTGTGTGGTCAATAAGACAAACATGATTGACTCCACATACCGCAACTTCAAGATGGAGGTGCTAGCTGGAGAGGAGAACATGGTTGCCAAAGTAGGTTAAATTATAAATGTGCTATTATTTCATGATATTTAAAAATGGTTTCTCAAATATTCTATATTCTCAGCTGTAATCAAATCATTGTCTGATATTTGATCCAATCTGCAGGTGAAAGAAAACGGGGTGACCTACGAGTTTGACTTTTCTCATGTATACTGGAATCCCCGGCTGAGCACCGAGCACCAGCGCGTGGTGCAGCTCGTGAAGCACGGCGACACCGTGTTTGATGTGTTTGCCGGCGTCGGGCCTTTCGCCGTCCCTGCTGCCCGCTCCGGTGCAAACGTCTTGGCCAACGATCTGAACCCGGAGTCTCACCGATGGCTGCAGCACAACTGCAAACTCAACAAAGTGGAGAATAAAGTCAGAACCTTCAACCTGGACGGCCGAGCGTTCATCCAGGGGCCTTTGAAGCAGGAGCTGCCCGCACTGCTCAAGGGAAAAGCCACTGTGCATGTAGTGATGAACCTGCCTGCCCTGGCTCTGGACTTCCTGGATGCATTCAGAGGCCTGCTGCAGCAAGAAGCGTCCTGTGATGAGATCCTACCCACAGTGCACTGCTACGGCTTCTCTAAAGCTGACAACCCGGAGGCGGATGTGGCGGAGAGGGCTTCCCAGAGCCTCGGGTTCCCCCTCGAGGACAGATGTTCTGTGCATTTCGTGCGCAATGTAGCACCCAACAAAGATATGATGTGTGTGACCTTCACACTCCCGAAAGAGGTCATCTTCAGCAGTGATCCGGAACAGACAGGTGAGCGTCCATAAAATTGAGCGGAATTGAAAGATAATGTGATGGTAACTTCAGGAAAGCCACTAAAACATGTATGAAAGGCTAAAACATGTTTAATGTGTAAGTACCCTTATCCTGCAGGTAACTGGGTTGTTCTGATAAACTGAAGTCTGCTTAATTTTTGTATTATTATTATATTTTTTGTATTATATCAACTTTGTTTAACATCAAAAATAGCTAAAGCGATCTTTTTCCCGCCTCTCGGGAATCGGCAATTTCTTTGTATGCGAGTAGCTACTAATAAGTAGCTACTTGCATACAAACATTTACAATTCATTAATAATTAAGTACCTGCAGATGAAATTTAAGACAAGTCATGCGGCAAACTGTTGTTGCATTTGCACGTTTTAATGAAGATGAGCTTCCGTTTGACACAAATAAAATCTAAACCGGTTTGGTTTCTCCTCAGAACCTTCACCAGAACCAGCTCCGAAGAGACAAAAGTGTGCAGAAGCCACAGAAGACCCATGACTACACGGAAACATTTGAGTTATTCCGCTTTTATTTTTATTTTTTCACAAAATTAGTTTTAATGGACTTCAATAATAGTTGATGTTGCCTCCTGTCATAAGAAATAATGAGCCAGCATTACTTCAAAACCACACTCATTGACTGGAATGTATTGGAACCATTATTCAGAGCTTGGTCATACAAAGTTGTTTCACTTTTTTAAATAAATCCTAAAAAAGAAAAGTCAAGGAGTGTTTGTGTTTATTGTAATTTATTTAAATATAAAATTAACACAAAATATAAAAAAGTCCTATACAGTGAACAAGAATCAATCATAGCACCACCTGCCACAACAGCTTTTTTCCCCTCTCGGTCGTAGTTTTATTGTCCATTGAGTCCCGTTTCCAACCAGTAGCTGTTGCGCTGTTTGCGCCCTGCGTGTGCTCAGCGCTTCAGAGGGAACAGCCCACTGAAAGCATCCTGAATGGCTCGATGACACGCCAAAGCTGAGGTGTATCCTCCAGCTGTGTCCTGAGGCATGGCAGCCCGCACGTGGTTCAGATACCTGAGAACACACAGAGAGCCCTGGTCAGTAACAGCAGTGAGGTATTTCGTAAACAACGCGGCCGACTGGCCGGGCCCCCGAGAGCCGCTTTCAAAAAGTAGTTCCTGCGAGTGTAACTTGAGTTTAAGTTTATTCTTCATTAAATCCACACTTGAAAGTTGTTTTTTCTGGCTTTCAGCGACCCTTTGATGAGATCAACGAAGACAGACGTACCCATACAATAACACTGGATCACCTTGTGCCTAAAAGCCTCTCCAACATGGCTCTATTAAAGTATTATGGGTGTCTTTTATTTTCTAAGTGCTTACAGATGTATCCTGCCAAAGCCCCTTTTCGGATTCTTGAGGAAAGCCAAAAGTTACTGTTTATTTTCACATTCATGCACAGACAGAAAAACAGTCGAGCTGTTAATTTAGTCTCCACGTCTCGTCCCCACGGGGACAGATGCCCCTCTACTTGTGAGTTGTGTGTGTATGCAGCAGGGGATTGACCCGTTTCCCCACCCGCTCTAATCCTTCCTCCACTGTTTTGTGCCTTCGAAAAAAAAAGTGGCCGTCGGGGGAGAAACCTGCGCACATGTTCTGTACTGCTCTCTCCAAGCATCTTGACTACAAAGCTAAAAAAGCAAAGTCCTCGAGCAACTGAGACAACACGTAGCCTCGCCTGTCAATGCCGTCTCCCCCTGCTCCTCCCACCCTGCAGAAACCGGAATCCTGGCAGAGAGGGCTAAAGCCCTCACACGAGTCTGGCTTTGTGGCCCCTGTTCCTGTGAGCCGCAGGAACTTCAAAGGGAAACGGGAACACAGACGGCTCTGTGATTTCTGTGCCCATTCTGGCTGCTTTACAGAGTAACCCAACACCTGTGAGGAGCGTGTGTGTGTGTGAGTGATGGAGGGGTGGAAAAAAAAGGTGTTTTGTGTTAAATATATATATATATCTCATACTATGCTTTGGTGTTTATGACGGCTGCTTTCCTCAAAACTATAACATATTGTTTAACATGCCAATACATCAAACAAGGTGACCTTGACTTGTCTTGTAATAGAAAGTGAGTGAGAACAGCGAGAGACGTCAATCAGGCCTCGCACACAAAGGCCACTCATCACCCACTAGAGAAACACACAAGTTCAAAACAGGAGGCCCAGTGATTAATAATAACTTCATTAGGCCCAAGCTGCTGTAGCCTGTCCTTCAGAGCACTTGAGGGAGGTCTTCTCGTATGGCTTCCTGCATCAGATGAGTGCTATCTATTGATTATATTGTACTGGGCCTTTCTAATGGTGAAAAAAGTGGGCTATTTACAGCCCGGCTAAGTCTGCTCTTCCTGCTAATCTAATCCCCAAGCTACTCATGTGGTCATTCCTTCCAAGAAAGCTGAGAGCTCTGTGTAACTTTATACCTGCCTGCCCCTAAGGAGAGAGAGAGGGAGGGAGAACATGAAGGAGGGGGTGGGAGTGGGAAGTAGAAAGAGGAGGGAGGATATGAGGTGAAATCACCTTTGGGTATCATCATCACAAACCCTCTTCTCTTAAACCAACTCTGTCTGCCCTCTGCTCACCCCGAACACCCGAGGTTAGTTCAGTTCTGCTCCATTAACTCAGCGGCCGTATCCGCATCTTCCTGTAAAGGCCAGCGGCATACATGTACACACTCAAGCGCACGCGCGCGCACACACACACACACACACACACACACACACACGACCGGCTACGGAGGAAGCTGAGAGATGAACTCTGCTCCTTTCACATGACTGTACTCGACGATGCTGAGACATTAAGGGCGGACGGACGACACCAAAAAGGCGTGCGGCAACATGAAATGCATTAATAATGTGCAGCACGCTCTTTACGCAGCCTTCAAACATAACACACACACACACACACACACACACACACACACACACACACACACTATACCACTACGAAACGCTTCGAGATGTTACGGTTTCGGTGTGCACTCAGCCCCCCCCAAACCTTCACCCCCCTCTCTCTCTCTCTCTGAGGACTGGACTGCCTTTTGTTCGCAGGGCCGTGAAACCCAAGCCGTGTCGGCCGGTAACATCTTTCACTCTCCGGGCCCCACTGGAGCATTAGTTGCAACTCGATATGGGTCTTTTCAAAGCTTCGTATTATTGGGTAAATATGGGTCACTTTGGACTGGCCCATTATGTCGCTTGGGGGGGGGGGGGGAAGACGGGTGCAGGTGATGAAGACAACTGAATGACACAGGGTGACAGTATGCGTGTCAGTCGGCGATTGCCACAAGGGAATATGACAAGGGGTTTTCCACTAGTACACACACACATACACACAAGTTATATGTATGTTTTACCAGATTTCCTTCTCAGAAGAACATCTCAGCATGTGTCAAATTTTCTTTCTTCAAAGCACAATAGATGATGATAGAAGAGCTTGCATTATTTTTCAAACTCTACTCATTCCCTCCGGCTGTAACTTCATTTCTTTCAAAAAGCCATGTGGTTAAAAACTGTTCAGAGTCTAGTTGGCCAACCGCATTTTTCCACTTGGGTCTGGAATTCTGAATACCTGGGCAATGTCTCCTGCTAATGCTAATACCGGTCAGAGATTTTCCTGACGGGACCCTGAAAGTGTTCCCCACCCCGGCTGACTGGAAAATGCCGCAAAGCCACATCTCTAATTCAAAGTGAAAAGATAAGTGGCGAAATGTTCCGGTGGGGCTCTACTTGATTTCCAGCTGGGAACGCGTGGCTCCTCTTTGCGTTCGGATGGACGACGCTGCAGTGGAACGGAGGCTTCGGCTTCATCGGGGAAATATAATCGACATGGGAGGGAAAACAGGCGATATCAGACGGAGGCGCGGGCCGCGTTGGGCCTCTTCGTCTAGACTCCATGTGTTGGCTCGAGTTGGATCAAGAAGAGCTGCGGCAGCCGGGGCTGGATGGAAAAAGAGGCCCGTAGTGCTACAATGGTTATTTCAGCAAGGAGACACCTAATTAACGGACAAATCACAGAGAGATCGCTGTACAGCTTGGCTGCTTTCATACATACAGACTTAATAGTAAAAAAAAGGTTAAGATGGCTCTTTCAAAAGAAACTCTTACATTCACGACACTGACCGGGAGACTTTGCTTTAACAGCACTCTCACCGATTCACGATTCAGTGTTAAATTTTACTACATCTGGCACGAACGGGGTACGCGCACGTCGAGGTCGGCCGGAGATAAAAAATCTGCATTTTATTCCCTCAACCCTGGACAATGGAAGCCTGCAACGATAAACCAATAAAACCTCCTGAAGGCCAAGGACTGAAGCCTCTTTAGCGCCGTTTATTGAAGCCAAGGAGCTCAGACTGGTGTCTTTCCGAGCGCAAAGTCGGCATCTGACTACCGCTGGGAAGTGTACATCTGAACAGAGGCCGCCCCGTACTGCAGAAACGCCAGTCCCGAGGCTGCTGGAAGGCGGCGTGGATGTCCGGAAGTCTTCCTTTAGTGCTCCGCTCCGGCAGCGGCTGAGGATTCCTGGTCTGGAATTGATGGGGGCTGGAGGAATAGGAGGGCGGGCAGAGGGGGTGGGGAGGTGCAGAGCCACACACCTGCCAGATGATTTGTCATTATAGAGGGGTCAGCACTCAGCTGTCACCCCCTAATCACCCATCCTACCCCCTTAAGTCAACCCCCCCCCCCTTTACCCCCCAAACTCCACTCCAGTCCTCCAAAAACACCCCCTGCATTCCTAAGGCGGCTCCGGTTTCACTCGCAGCGCTGCTGCCCCATCTGCCCCTCCTTTCTACACTCTACCCTGAGAGAAAATGTACCCCTGTGAGACGCAGCACACTGAGCGCATTGTGTATGTGTGCGACTTGTGCCTACGTGTGTGTGTGTGTGTGTGTGTGTGTGTGTGTGTGTGTGTGTGTGAATACATATTTTTCGCGCGGTTCGTATCGGTGCCGACGGTGGACAGATGGAGCAGGATTCCACCGGGTTGAATGTGTGAGATCGGACCGGGCCGCGGTCTAGAAACAAAGCCCCCGCAGACAAGCCAAACACAGAGGACTCTCACAGGTATACTATATCTGTCAACAGAGGTCTTTCATCACCGCGGGTCAGAGGTCACTCCCTTTTCCATTGAATGGAGCTTCCTCTGGGACGTACGAGTGTGTGAGACGGATCCTCAGCTGTCAGCCTGCCCACTGTCCGTCCGATTATCTCAAGTCGACTGTGAGTGTGTCTGAGGGGGGGGGGCTCAATACGGTTACATCATATCCTCACGGGCCTACAGACCCCTTATCCATTATCGTGCGTCTTATCTTCCCCGTCGACGGGCTCTCTGCGTCCCATAAGAGAGGAGGAGAGGCAGGCGGGTGTAGCCAGCACTCAGTCAAGGGGAGAACATGTTTAGAGTGTTAACAGAAGCTTCGGCTGACACTTGACGTGAGCGCTTATAGAAATACATTCTCGTGAAGTGACTGACAATCTGCCAGCTGTCTACAGGAAGGCGGCGTGTTGGTATCCGGCTCAGCGGCTGAGTGCTACGCTTGTTGTTGTGTCTGTTAGCAGATAGCAGAGTAGAGGTGCGCCCCCCCCACAAAGGCCCGCGCTGCTTCTCGCGCCCAAACCTCACTTCCTGCTCAGTCAGTCACCTGCCCTCCACTCATCCAGGGCGCTGTCGGCCTCGCACCTCCCCCGTCTGACCTGGTGGGGGCAGTAGAGGTTGGCTGGCCGGCTTGGCCTCACATCTAACCAGCGGCAGCGGCATCACACATCCCGCTGGACGCTTCATACAGAGAGCATCTTTCTTTCGTCTCCTGAGCTGCTACTTGATAACTCTGCCCCCTGGAGAGCTTAGAGGAAGGCGGGGAGGGGATGGGGAGGGGTGGTGGAGGAGGGGGAGGGGGGGGGCAAACCAGACCGAAGAGGGAGGATAATGACATGACATCAGTGTCATCGTTAGCCAAATGGCGCCGTAAACGATGGAAGAACATATGCTGTTCAGTGAATGGTTGCTAGCGCGAGGCACACC